TGATCACAGGGGACACTGGGTGCAGGGTGCCGAGGCTGTCTCTCTACCATCCTGGCAACTTTTCTGCAAATCTAAAGCTGTTCTAAAATGAAAAGTTTAATTCCAGGTAGAGTATCTCCTATTTGAAATGTTTGGGGCCAGAAATGTTTTGGAGTTTGGAATGTTGGCATATACGTAAACGAGTGATCTATCAGCTATCATCACTCAAGTCTAAACACGAAATTCACTGATGTTTCGTGTTCTCCTCAGATGCAGAGCCTGGAGGTAATTTCATACAATATGTTTAGCACACCTGTGTTTTGACTGCACCCCATCACATGAGGTCAGGGTGGAAATTTCCACTTGTGGCATTATATGGGAGCTAGTTTGGGGTTTGGGGATATTTCAGATATCAGGTTTTTGGATTAGGGATGCTTAGGCTGTAATTATAAAGAACAGAGGGCTGACTTCCACTTGGGCAGGTTGCTGGGGGTTCAGTGAGGTGACATGGAGGCACCTTGTGTGTGAGCCGGTGATGGCAGTTAGTGCCCCTGCTACGGTATGACACAGTGGATTACTGCCCCAGGGTCCCACTTGCTCAGCTCTGTCAGGGAGCATCCGCAGGAGAAAGGGAATGAGTGGCTTCCAGAGATAAGCCTCTGTGGAGCTCTCCTGCCCCTACTCTGCTGGCGAAAGGCTGGAGTTGGCACAGGCTACCAGCTCCTTCATGGGCTCCCTGAGACTGGCTTGCCCCCTTCAGCCCCAGCCTGAAGCCCAGCATTCCTGCCTTAGGCACTGAGTCTGGCTCTCCCTTGCTTAGGAGAATGGATGCAGAAGTCCAACACCAAGGGAGCTTGGGTGCAGGGCTCGGGGTGGGTGGGGGACCACAGGGATCCAGGGGCCTAGACCTTGCTGGGTTACAGTGGAATGGGCGGTTCTGTTGTCTAGTATTTGATTGAGTGATTGATTGATTTGACAAGGTCTTGCTAAATTGCTCAGGCTGGACTTATACTTGCAGTCCTCCTGCCTCAGCCTCCCAGAGTGCTGGGATTATAGATGTATGCCACCATGTCCCGCCCACAGTAGCCATTTTACTGTTCGTAAACGTGTGTCTGACAGCAGGCGGAGTGTGGAAGCATATTCCAGAAAGCCCAGAGGCATCATTTCCAGCCTTTCTTCTTCCTCCTTGCCCCCTGCCTTCTGGGTAGTCCTCTCCTTTCTCAACCCACCCCAAACTTTGAAAACATCTTCGCTCCACCTTTGCTTCTCCATAGCCACCCCAATCTGGGGCCCAGGAGCAAAAGATTCATTTGAGGGCAAAGATCTTTCTGTGTCCTCCCCATTGCTGGGAAGCCGCACTTCTGAAGTGAGGGCGAGGAGACAGGAGCTTGAAGAGCACGGTGTGCTGCTGGGACTGGATGGGAGTTCAGGCTCAGGACTGCCCTGCAGCCCCAGGCCCCTGGAGCTTAGTTTCTGCTTCCTGCTGATGTCACAGTCAGATGAGGCAGGCAGGGGTTCAGGACAAGGACCTGCCTTCCTTTTCTGAGCTGGGAACTCTCTTTATCTTCTATCCCAGTCACAGAAAGCCCACCCCAGCCACTCTGGCCCAGAAACTGGTTCTGAACAACAGCTCAGTATAAACAGAGGCCATAGAGTCACAGATATCTGAGATCAAATCCAGCCCTTCCCTCTTCCCAGCTGGGGGCCTTGGGAAAGTCATTTAACCTCTCTGAACCTCAGATTTCCCACCTATGAGATGGGAATAACTCTTTCCATAAATCAATCTTGAGATTGTACACTGAGCCCCCAGCGCAGTTCCTGGCACAGAGTAGGCATTCAAGGAGCAGCAGCTCTCAACCCATCCTCTCCCCTCTCTTTGGCCAATGTCCTGACCTTTGCTGGTTTCTCTGCTATACAGCCAGTGCCTATCTCTCAGGCCAATATGTAATGTCAAGTCCTAACCTAGGGTTCTTAGCAGAGGTGACCTTGAACTTGGCTCAGAGGTGAGAAGCAAGGAAACTGGACGTGTTGTTATTTCTGCCCTGTGAGTGTGCTACCTTGTGCCCAGTCACAGGTAGCAGCAGTTCCTCATCTGCCCTGTGCTGGCCTCTGGCATTTTGGAAAATGGGCTGACAGGGCCTGGCCCCAGGAACACAGCCAGACTGGAGCCTGTCAGGGCGTCCCTGTGAGTGTGTTCCGGAAGGGCTGGGCTGGGGTTCCAGGCCTCCCTGCTAGCCATACCTCCTCGCTGTGGCACTGGGTGGCAGGAGGACCCTGCAGTTCTGCCTAGCATGGAAGCCCTGCCTTGCCACTTCTTTGGACTGTGCAAAGCCTCAAGGGTGTTCTCGCTGAATCAAAGCCACTGAGGGCCCCACTTATAGGCTGTGGCTGTGGGAGTAGGTGCCAGTGAAAGACCCAGAGAAAGACTGGGCCAACCTTACTAACTAGTGTCCTAGGCCACTGAGGGCAGCCACTGAAGCAAGGGTCACTGAAGGCCTGCTGAGTGAGGGACAGATATGACTATAGCCACATGTCTGTATTCATGGGAGAGCGAGTCTAAGACCCTGTGGATACCAAACAAAATCTGTGGACACTCAAGGCCCCTATGTAAACTGTCTACTCTTTCTGTAAACTTTAAATCATTTCTAGCTTACTTATAATGCCTAATACAATGTAAATGCTTTGCAGATAGTTGTTACACCATATTATTTAGGCAACAATGGCAGGCAGAACCCTGTATCTATTTAATACATTTTTTTATGAAGGATTTTCAGTCCAAAGTTGATAGGAGCCACAGACACAGAGCCTGTAGATACTGGGGGCTGACAGCCAGATGGCAGGATTCTGGTGCTAGTTTGCGCGTTCCGGCCAACTAGAGGGCACTTGGGGAAGGCACAGGCCTGAGGGATTTCCAGATCCTCCTCCCGGTGTTCTAGTGACTTCTCTGGGGACAGGTGGTGGGTTTGCATATGATGTGCACACGTGGGGCATGGATGTGGCTGAGTAGAGTGCACCATGCCTGCGAACCCACCTCAGTCTGCTTGCAGAGCACGCCAAGGAGTCCCTGGCCCTGACCACACCCAGCCTGCAAGGGAGGCCACATGCTAGCATTGGAGGCCTCCTAGGATAAGTGTGGGGCACACAGGTCAAGGAGGACAGCCCCTCTCCCCTTGAGGCCTTCATTCCCATGGAGCCTTGGTCCGGCGGGGAAGGAAGGAGGGAGCCTGCCACCGTGGCCTGTCCGTCATGCCTTCTGATGGGAATTGGCGGGGTGCTGCCTGCCCACAGCGGGTGCTTGGCTTCGGTCTCCCACTCACTTGGCCTCAGCTCTAGGAAGGTCCATGGTGGGAGCCTGATGCTGGCTGCTCAGAAGTCTTCACATCCAGGACCTGGGGCACTGCTGGTTCTGGACACTAGGATGAGTGGGCTGGGGCTGGGGCGTGTGGGCATGAGGCAGCTCCCCAGTTCCCCTCCCAGCCTGAGCCTTCGTGTGGGACTCACACATGTGGGTTGTAGGTTGGTGGGGAAGAAGTGATGGCTGAGGGCACAGGAAGAGCAGGAGCAGGCATGCAAGCCCATGCCAGCCCCTGGGACGCCTGTGGGGCGGGGACTGGAACTGGAGGCTGAGCTGTACTTCTGCCTGGTCACTGATTGCTGCCTGTGTCTGCGGGCTTGTGTGGCTCAGTCATGGTTCCTGGACATTTACACATGGCAGTCCTAATGACAGCCATAATCACCCCACTCTGCAAAACAATAAAAAAATAAAAAAATAAAGAAAGAAACAGCTTCTTAGGGGTTCTCTGCTGTGCTCCAGGTCAGCCAGATAAATAGCAGAGCAGAGATTTGAACCTGGGACTCCCGGGAGCTGCTTCACCATTGCTGTGTCCTTCTCCTGACTGGCTGAGCAAGTCACTTCTGTGAGTTGCTCAGAGAAAAAACTCAGGAATTAGTTACAGGAGGGACGGCACATCTCATGCTGACAACAGGGATCATACTGTTAGCGATGCAGAATATGTCTCATGAAATGAACAAAATACAGCTGTATTCGTGTGACTTCAGTTTTACAAAGTAACACAAATGCACACATGCACACACATGTACATGTGGTAGGAAGCTTGTTAACATGATGATTATATATATTTGGCTAATAGAAATGTAAATACTTTAGGTTTCTTTGTAGAGGGTACTTAAATTTTTTTACAATGAATTGTTTTTTTATTTTTAAAAGAGTTATTAAAAACAAAACCTGGGTGTGGCCATTGGGACACTATGTACAGGACATAGGTGTCTCCAGGAGAGGGTAAGCTCCCTGCCCTTGGGGGCAGAGGCTGAGAGTCTGTCCTGTGGATCTGGTCAGGGGAGTGCCTTGGACCGGGTCCTTTGGTGAACTGTATGAGGCTTTTTCTATAGGTTCCCATGTCTGGGAGCGGAAGGATGATTCTGAGCAGGGCTTCTCAAGCTTGACCACCCCTCAGCCACAGCCAGGAGCCTATTCACATGCAGGTCCTAGCTCAGGAGGTCTGGGTGGGGCTGAGACTGTATTCTAACAGGCTCCAGGGTGGTGGCTGCTGCTGGTTGGAGGCCCTGCAGCACCTTGAGCTGGAGGAAGACTCAGAGTACCCCCCCCCACTAGTGCCCAGGTGCTATAGGAACAGCAAGATTGCAGTGGTAATTGGAAAACTACACAGAATGTTAGGACCAGTAGTTTGAATCAGGGTCCCCTGAGCCAGATGACCCCACCTCCACCCCTACACTTTGGCTTCATGGAAAGAGCTCAGGGTAGGGATCCAGCAGTTCATAGTTTGAAGCCCTGCTTTGAAGCTTGTTAGCTGCATGTCCCTGGGCAAGCCATTTCACCTCTCTTGGCCTCAAGTTTCCCTACCTGTAAAGTAGAGGTGAGAATGGTTGCTCAGTTCAGCCATGGTGGGGTGAAATGGGATGCAGTATGTTAGAAATCTAATGCAGAACCTGGCTCCTGGTGAATGTTTGTGCCCCCTTAACATGCACTCCTTCCCCTGCAGGTGGATGAGATTTACCACGATGAGTCCCTGGGTGCCCACATGAACATCGCCCTTGTCCGCTTGATCATGGTCGGCTACCGGCAGGTGAGTCCCAGCTGAGCAGGAAAGGTTGGGAGGAAGAAGGGCTGTGCAGCCACAGTGTGAGACCAGCTAGGATGTGCCCAGAGGGACAAGTGTCCAGGAGACCTCAACTCCGAAATCAGAGCCCTGAGCCCATTAGATTCGAAGCTCAGAGTGGAGGCCTTTGAAGTGGAAAGCAGGAACTCATGGGCTCTTTGGTGGAGGAAGCTGACAGTGTTATGTCCTCACAGAGAGTGCCGCTCTTCCCTGAGGAATCAATAGGGAAATGGGCCTCCAGGGCAGGGGCAGTGACCGAGACAAGTCATGTCATTTTGAGCCTGGAGACCTCAGACTCTACAGCCTTAGAAGGGTTCACCTGTTCTCCCTAAATCGGGGGTGACAGCCCAGCTTGCATCTAAGTTGTGAAGATTTGATGGACAGTGAATGTGAAGTGTGGGAAAGCACCCAGAGCAGTGCCTGCCTTGCAGATCAATTGAGGGATTGAAAGTACAGTAGCATGTGTCCGAGGCAGTGTCCAAAGCAGGAAAGACTGTGTGGGCGGGCACTGCAGTTCCCTGGGCCCGCGGGCGGGAGCTCAGCTGCCACAGTACCTGGAGCTCCGACCTTTCCCACTTGTCACTCCCGGTCTTGCAGTCCCTGAGCCTCATTGAACGCGGGAACCCTGCCCGAAGCCTGGAGCAGGTGTGTCGCTGGGCACACTCCCAGCAGCGCCAAGACCCCGGCCATGCTGAGCACCATGACCACGTTGTCTTCCTCACACGGCAGAACTTTGGGCCCTCAGGTATGCAAGGTACTGTATTTGCTGTGGCCAGGTGTGTGCAGCCTGCAGGGCAGAGCTAGGGATTCAGGCTGGGCCTGGAGAAGGATGGGTTCTCTTGGGGGGTTGGAAGGCTCAGGACCTGTGTGAATAAGTGAGTGAGCTTTGGAATGGTTTCTTGGAGACCATGGCAAGTGAAAGGTGCCTCCTGTCTTGGTCCAGCTTGCAGGTGGCTATGAGTAGGTTTGGGGTCCTCCCGTGCTCAATGTCCCAGCGACTCAGAGACCAGCTCCTTGAAGACCCCTCCACAGGGAACCTCAAGATACTGTTTCCCACACCATGTCCTATGTCCTCTGCAGACCGTAGGTACTTGACAGTGGTTGTGTGGGCTGCAGAAAAGTTCATGCTCTGTTCGATGCCTTAATAGGCCAGCTCAGGGACCCAAGATCATCCGTTCAACACCTGGATCTCCCATAATCTTTGCCGTCCTCCATGCCATGCTGATCAGAGGGTTGAGGAGAGCATGAAGTGTCCATGACAGAGTATAGGCAGCTGTAAGCATCTGTAAATCAGCAGCTCCCCTCCCCCAGTTTTTCACACAGGGAAGCTGAAACACAGAATGGTGAATGCTTGCCTGTGCCGCACCGCAGGCAGGCCTCAGACCAGACTGGCTCTCCAGACACCACTTTGAGGGCTATTTTTTCACATTTAGTGCTAGAAATCAGTCAGCCCTACCCACCCAAACGGCTTCTTGTCTGAACCAATGAAGCTCCAAATGGGGTTTGCAGACACACACACAGGCACACACACGTATACACAGAGACATGTGCACACACTACACATGTACACTGCATGCGCAGGTACAGGCATGCACAGGTACCCCGCAGGCACCTGGACACACATAGAGATACAAATGGACACACGCTTATGCATGTAGGACATGGCACGAACAGCAAATCCTAGGCCTCCACGAAAGGAGTACCCCAACCTCTAAACACTGTAGCCTCACTGTGCCCCCCAAACCATGTGAAAGGCATGACCACTTAGTAATGCTATGCAACAGGGCAGACTTGCTCTAATTGACTGTAGGTCCAGGCAGGGAACGCTTCCCATTGGCACCCCTCCTCGAGCTCTTCCCCAGCTCAGCCTGCCCTCCCAGTCTGTACCTGAGTCAGGTGTGTGACATTGGCTGTGCTGGGGATCGAACCCCCGACCTCAAGCGCTGTAAGCCTGCAATCCACCACAGAGCTACAGCCCAGCCCTGGCTGGTTTGAGGAGCAGGCCCTGAGTTGGCTGTGGCCAGTGCCTCTCTGTGCCGGCCTTGCTGCCCTGCCGCAGTGTCTGTGGCCATCTACACCTTTACCGGTGTCCCTACCTCTGGAGAGTCACTGCAGCTGTCCTCAAGGCCTATCTCTGTCACCCCATAAGTCATTCCCTGTGCCCCTGGATCCCACAGGCCGAAACCATGTCCTTACGCCACCTGCAGGTCACCCCTGCCCCCACCTTGCTCTCTGAGCTCTGGCCACTCAGGCCCACCTCTAATCCAATCACCTGATCTCCCTGCCAAACTGGACCTTCCTTAATGCCATGTGGGGTCAGAGCATGAGTCTGATTCATCTCAGTTTTCTCCATGGTATCCAGAGAAATTTTTTCCTCTTCCCTCCCCCGCCCTTTTTTTGAGATAGTGCCTCTTTATGTTGTCCAAACTGGTGTCAAACTCCCCAGTCAAACAATCTTCTTGCCTCAGTCTCCTGAGAAGCTGGGGCTAGAGGTGCATGCCACTGTGTCTGGCTCCCCATAGTAGTCAACTTAGTGCACCCCCGCCTCCACATAGAAAGCATTCCAAGCTTGTTTGTTGACTGACTGTAGAACAAGAGGAAGATGGTGTGGAAAGTGAGTGTGTGTGCGCAGGTTTGTATCCTGCCCAGAAACTCCACCACTTGTTCGGAGAAGTAGCCAATAGAGTGTGGGAAGCTATAGGCCATGAGGGAAGCCACCAAACCCTAGGACACTGGGGTGGTTAGGACCAGGGTTGCTGTGCATGGGTGGGACTTTGTGAGTGTCATTCTTCTCTAGGGCTTCCAGCACTGACCAGGTCAGGATGTCCCTGCAGCGGCTGGCTGGGCTCAGACCTCAGTATGTCCCACCTGACCTGCCTGTGGCCTCTCTCCCTCTCTCCTTGGCAGGGTATGCGCCTGTCACTGGCATGTGCCACCCCCTGAGAAGTTGTGCCCTCAACCATGAGGATGGCTTCTCCTCGGCTTTTGTGGTGGCCCACGAGACCGGCCACGTGTAAGTGGCATTAGGAGGGTGGGCAGGGCTGGTGGCTCTGTGGCCATGGGCTATGCTGTGAGCTCCGAGAAGTCCTGGGGGTGAAAGGTGTTGTCCAGATCTGGCTCTGGTTCCAGTGTCTCAGGAGAAGCCAGAAGAGCTGGCTGCCTCTGAGGCCTGGTGTCACAGATCTGCGGGTTGACAGAAACCCTGCCCTGCAGGGAAGGGGGCCGAGGAGCCCAGTTCTAGGCCTGCTCTATGTGGCCTTGAAGACCAGATGTGTCCCTGGCTTTGGGGAGGTCAGTGACCGCGTCCTTGTCATAGGCGGGGCCTGCTGTCCGGGTGGTCTTCATCCCTGACTTCCCTCTTCCCCATGCTGACCCTTCTGAGACCCCGTCCAGCTCACCCCAGTGCTCTGCATGCGGAGGAGCTGGCCCCAGCCCATGGTAAACAGGCTCACTCAGAGCCCAGGCAGTGGGCCAGGCGAGGCTGGTGGGCAGGCTCTGCGGCTAGGAGGTCGTTCACAGCACAGTCATCCATTCGTTCAGCTGTAGTTCTCGAGCACCTACCGTTCACCACACCCTACTCTAGGAATGGTGCCGTGGCGGAGATCAGGAAGGCCCTGCCTATACAGGGGTGGAGCTGAGGGACATCAAACGAGCAGTGGTGGCTCCTCTCCCTGCACCTCAGTTTCCTCCTGGGATTTCCCAGGGAAATCTCTCAGTCTTCTCCCTGCTGTGTGAACTGCTGGCCCCATATATTCTGGAGCCAGAATCTGCAGAACAGGGTTGTCCACTCTTCATGGAGCAGAGGCCCCTTCCTGCAGAGAGAGAAGCTCAGGCTCAGATGTCCCTGTGTGTCTGTCTAGGGTGCAGCCACCTGGGAGTAGTTAAGAAATGGGACCATTGGGCTTTGGCATTACATATGAGATGTAAGAGCACAGTTTTGAATTTAAGCCATCACGGGAGTTATTGCCGGCCACGTGCACAGCTCTCTGCCGAGTGCTCTGGGTCTGGCACACAGGGGCGCTCCATGGAAGAGGCTGAATCTGATTTCCTGATTTGGGTAGGAAGTATGATCTCCTGCTTCAGATCTGCCTGACTGCCTTCCCAGGGCAGACTCCCAGAATAACTCGGGGCTCCTCTCTGTCCCTCACCCCATCCCGCTTCCAGGCTTGGCATGGAACACGACGGGCAGGGGAATGGCTGTGCGGATGAGACCAGCCTGGGCAGTGTCATGGCGCCCCTGGTGCAGGCTGCCTTCCACCGCTTCCACTGGTCCCGCTGTAGCAAGCTGGAGCTCAGCCGCTACCTCCCGTAAGTCACTTCCGCCCTTGGCCAGGGACCCGGGAGCAAGTGGCCTGCCACTCCAAACAGGTGGCCCAGCTGGCTGTCACCCTGCAGTCATCACTCCTCCTGGCTTGACTCATATGGCTCTTCCAGCCCCCGGTCCCACCACCTAGCCTAAAACACCCATTACATCACAGGTGGGTTAGTCCCCATGTGCCCAAGTGGTCATGTGCATAGAACTCCTGCTTACACCCCAGATCTCCTGGCCCCATCCAAGAAACCCTTGAGAATCTGCTGGGGGTTGGGTCTGGGCAGCTGCATTCATCCAGCACTGCCGGTGATACTCATGCCAATGGGTAGTAGTCACCCAGTAGGCTGGGGCAGGGGCGTCTCCGTCTCCCCTGGGCCCCAGAGAAGGGGCATGTCAAGAAGAGCCTGCTGGGTGCAGCACAAGTGTTAGACTCAGGAGCTTGAGGACTAGGAGTGGGCAGAGTGGATCTGGGTGGGCCAGGTGGAAGAGGGATGGAGTCACTGGCCTTCCCACGCTGCCAGCTGGGGCAGCCTGCCCAGCCTACCCTGCTGCATCAGTTGGCTTTGCCTCTTCCCTTGTAGTAGAATGAGTCCTGAGCTTGTCTGGAATCAACTCTTAGTCTTAGCTAAGAGTGTTTCCTTTTAAGATGGGTAAAACTGACATGTAAACAGTCTATAAACTGAGCTGCTAACCCCGGTTAGTCCCTGGCCCCTGGCTGCAAATGGAGTCCTCCCAGTCACTGGTGGAAGCCAAGTCCTGAGTGAGGGGAACGTGGGGCAGCTTTCCTGGAAGAAACCCCCCTACTCAGGGCAGTGGATGCAGGTTCCTTGCTCATCAAAAGCCCCAATCCCTGGGGAGAAAGTACCTGCAACTCCCTGTCGTCAGGCCGGCTCACCTCCTGCCTCCACCGCAGGTCCTACGACTGCCTCCTCGATGACCCCTTTGAGCCCTCCTGGCCCCAGCCCCCGGAGCTGCCTGGGATTGACTACTCAATGGATGAGCAGTGCCGCTTTGACTTCGGCACTGGATACCAGATCTGCTTGGCAGTGAGTACCCTTGGCCTCTGCCAAGCTGGGACCCAAGGTCCCTGTCCTCCTGTGACCTAGGCCAGTCATTCAGGAGACACTTTCCACGTGGCCAGCCAGTGGCCCTGGGCATAGGCCCATAGGCTTGGAGCAGCCACCATAGGGGGTGGGCAGGAAAAACACCTGTGGGGTAGGTGTGTGCAGAGGCTCAAACATGGGTTTATCCTGGAAGAAATGGGATGAGTAACTCAGGGAGCGTGGGCCATCCCAGGCCAGTCCCCTGGGGAGCTTCCCTGAGAGGCATCAGGGTGTCAGACCAGGAGTGGGGCCCAGGGGGGCAGAGTTCCACTCTCAGGGTGTTTGGGAACATTTTGGTCTAACACCCCACTTGTGCATATCACCTCTCTCTGGGGCCTCACTTCCATGTCTCTGTCTCCATGCCTGGGGCCGTGGATGTGAGCATAACTCTGCCCCTGTCCTACAGAACAGGGTGGGGGACCAAGCAGTGGCACTGCGGGGCCAGGCTGAAGCTCAGGGAGGGGACATCTCAGGGGAGGGGGTTCCTGATGGGCCAGGCCTTTATACCCCCACCAAGAGGATGTGCCCCCCCCTTTCCTCCATGGAAGCCTGTTTGGTATGAGACTCTTCTGTGTGTGGTCACCTTCCCTGCTCTCCAAGCCACACTGGGACGTGTGGTCTGACAAAACACTGCCTTGCGGGTGGAAGAACGGGGTGGGGTTTTAGTGCCCAAATGCTGTGTTAGTGGGATGCTTGTCTGGGGTGTGCTGAGAGAGGATGTTAAGGAAACTGGGGCTTTTCTGGAGAGGCTTGTGCATACACTGACCAACCTCTGGTCTCACTGAGTGTCCACATTAGAGGGAGATGGGGGCTTTCAAACTCTTTGGCTCCCCTCTGGTTCCCTGTGCACAGGGATTTGAAGCATCGTGAGCCAGACTTCCCCAGAGCCTCAAACGCTGGTCCCAGCTCATGACAAAGTGGCTTCTGCTGAGCTAGAGAGGGAGGCCCGGAGTGAGAGGACAAAGGGCCTGGAGGCTGTGCTGGCCCCTTCTCAGCGCCCTGATCAGGGAGGAAGGCTCCTGGGGCCGCTGGTATTTGGGCTGGGGTTGAGCTGGTGGACGTGTGGGGTTTTGGCTTTCTCAGAGCCCCAGGCCCCAGCATCTGCCACACCCTCCGCTCTTCCTGTTACTGCCCTTTGCCCCCTGGACAGCTGGTCAGAGCTGGAGATTCCAGCCCGTGACTCCCTCCCCTTGCCAGCAGTTCAGGACCTTTGAGCCTTGCAAGCAGCTGTGGTGCAGCCACCCTGACAACCCATACTTCTGCAAGACCAAGAAGGGGCCCCCGCTGGACGGAACTGAGTGTGAACCAGGCAAGGTACCGGCAGGGTCTGTGGCAGAAGTGTCATCCTGGGATAGGGGGTGTCCATTCCAGCCTGTATGCAGGGCCCCAGGGGCCCCTCTGCCTGTGTGCATGTGAAGGGGGACAGTGCAAAAATACAGGTACAGGCCTGGTGAGAGGTCGATTTGTCCACGACCTCACACTCCTTTCCCTCCCATGCCACAGCCTTTGCCTGTGCAGTCGGCCAAGTTTAGCATGATCTCAGAGCCCATGTGGCAGGAAGGGTGACTCCTGTGTCACACAGGAGAACAGACGTGTTACAGAACTTGTCGCAGCCACACAGGAGAGATGAGCAGACAAGAGACGAAGGGAAGACTGCAGGTGTCCTGCCTGCCCGCCCTGCACCCCCACCTCTGGGCTGTTGTCCCCCACCTCATCCCCCTTTTGCCCTTCAAGTGTTTCTTGGTCTGTTTTCTTCCTGCATAATGGGTCCCAGCACTTTGTTTTCAGGGATCTTGTGCCTGGTCTCTGAGCTGAGCCCTGTCCCTCGCTACTCTGTGGTGACCTTGAGCCATTCTTTGAACTTCTCCAGTCCTGCCAACCCAACATACCAAGTATCCTTCCCACCCCTCGAGTTGGTTGTGAAGTGGCTGGATCACATCAGAGCAAGTGAGAGCTGCGAAGAAACAAGGTGTTAAGAGATCTGTGCAGCCAAGCGTGGTGGTGCACACCGGCAGCCTCAGGACCCTGGGGGTGCCAAGGCAGGACGATTGCAAATTCCAGCCCAGCCTTGGCAACTTAGTGAGATCCTGACTCAAACATTAAAAAGTAAAAAAAGCCTGGGGATAGAGCTCAGTGCAAAGGTCCTGGGTTCAATTGCCAGTACTGCACCAAAAGAAAGGGGAAGAGAGAGAGCAGGAAGTAGGGATTTTGCTCAGCATCAGCTGTGAGCACGGCATGGAGCACTGCTTTGTGCCTCATAGATGGGCGTGGCTTCCTGTGGCCCTGGGCAGCCCAGTGGGCTGCAAACCTTGTAGGCTGTCTTCCAGATCTGTCCACTTCTGACGTTTCCCAGGTATTTTCAGAGTCCCAGGTGCTCCCCAGTCACAGTTTTGCACAAATGGTTAGTCAGTGGTTCTCAGTTGTGGCTGTGTATTCCAGTCTTTGGGGAGTCTAACCCTCCCTCCCCAAACAGGGAGTAACTGCAGATGATCAGAGAGGATCTTTTGGGGGTAATGGAAACGCTCCAAAATTGGATATGGTAAAGGTCGAACAACTCTGTGAATTAATTAATTAATTTATTTATTTATTGGTACTGGGGATCAAAGTTGGGTCCTTGCACTTGCAAGGCAGGTGGCAGAACCACTGAGCTAAATCTCTGGCCCTGTGAATTTATTTTTTTAAAAAAATCATTGATTTGTACAATGTACAAGTGTGGGGAAGCTTTATGGCATCTTATAGCTTGCAAAAGCTCTTGCCTCTAGAGATTTTCACTCCATTGGACTGGGGGAAGTGACGGCATCTGGAGTTTTAACCGTTCCCTGGGGCTCTAAGGTTGAGAACTGCTGTGCTCTTTTCTTTCGAAAATCTCAGAGAAGGGCTGGGTATGTAGCTCAGTGGTGCTGCAGCTGCCTGGCAAGCGCAAGATCCTGAATTTGAACCTCAGTACTGGCAAATCCCAGAGAGCTTTCTATATCGCACCCATGTTACCTTGCAGCAAAAGGGAAGGGAGTTGCCTTTAGTTGAGCCCTCCTTTGAGAACCTGGTCCAGTGCTCAGGCCGTTGTAGAGTTTGTGCCTTTATCTCTTTCAGAGCAGTTCCATTGAACAGGTTAGTAAACAGGCTCAGCAAGGTGAAGTGGGCACACATAGCCAGTAATTGCCAAGCTGGGATTCAGATGCAGGCCTTGCTGACTTGATGTGTACACCAACTCCACTGCAGGGATGGATTCTTGCCTCCTAGGGACACATCTGCTTGTGGCTTCTGGAAGGTGACTTGAGGTACAAAGCCAAGATGAGCTCTATTTAGCTTGGAAATATTGTGTCCTTTATTTCTCCTGGAGTGATGAATGAAATAATTGCACATTTATCATCATCATTAACCTCCTCAAATAACCTCCTCCCTGCCTCTCCAGGGTTGTGTATGCCAGGCATTGAATGCTATGGGTGGGTACAACTCCCCATTGTACCCTTGAGGGGGCTCAGGACGCTGAGCCTCTGGTCCGAGGTTACTCAGCCAATGGCAGGGGTGGGACTCTGTCTGGTGCCAGGCTCTTTCTCTCAGCATCTCTTTCTCCGGGCTCCCTGTGGTGTCCCAGCTGTGCTGTGTGCCTGCTCCAGCAGCCTTTCTGGCAGGTTCCACTGCAGTGGCCCAGAGTGACCTCATGTCCTCTGCTCTACCCCAGTGGTGCTTCAAAGGTCATTGCATCTGGAAGTCGCCGGAGCAGACTTACGGCCAGGATGGAGGCTGGAGCTCCTGGACCAAGTTTGGGTCATGTTCTCGGTCCTGTGGCGGCGGAGTGCGATCCCGTAGTCGGAGCTGTGACAACCCGCCGTGAGTGTGCTTACCTGGGGTGGGCAGGGCAGGGGAGCCATCCCCGGGGTGGAAGGACTTGGAAAGGAAGGCAGTGGGGAGACAGGGTGTGGGAGTGAGTAAATGTCCCCCATATGTCATGCACTGTATGGGTGAGCATCCAAATCCGGGGCGGGTCTGAGCACACAACCTGCGTTTGCTGATGACCAATCAGATCTGTCTTCCTTGGATTCATCTGACTTAGTGACATTCAGATGCTCGTGTGCAGATGCCTAGAACCTGAGTGGGCCCAAGACTGCCAGGTCCCTGGCCCTCCCATGCCCTGATCTTCCAGCTAAACTCCGAGAGAACACTCACTGATCAACGTGTGTTGAACGTGACCCCCGACTTTATCTTCTACTCATGGGGCAAAAACTTCCTTCAGTTTTCTTAACTGACCTCTAACATCCAATCCCCTCAGTCTCCACACGAATGTCAGCATTCTGGGGTGAGGCCTATTGTTCCCTCTCATCCCTTCTATAGGACCCCCTGCCCCAGTCCTATGGCTTTGGAACTTGTGAGCCCCAGCTGGCCACGGTCCCATCGCCTGAGCTGAAGGAGCTCGCTTAGGGTGGCGGACTGGCCGAGATTGCCCTCATGTCAGCTGGCCCTAGGGGCCTCTGCACCGACAGGGCCTGCTCGGTCCCTCCTGTAGTGCGATGAATGACTACTGGAGCAGCTGCACTGGCCAGCTGCAAATAGGAGCCAAATAGTCTCCTTGTAATTTTCATTTGTTGAAGAAACAAAAGGCAAGGTGGTAGGAATCTATAGCAGCACCTACCTTGCAGTCAGGATCGACAGTTATGCCCTTGATCGAAGCTGTGATTGAGCTTCCCTGTAATAATAACTTTTATTTTATGAAGCTTACATGTCCAGCACAGGTGGAGCACATAATGACAGCTGCTGTTATAATTGTTGGTTTTATAAGGTGTGAGGAGTACTTTGTCAGAGCCGGGAAGGATGCTAATTTTAAGCATTTAGGTGCATAAACCTATGTGATTCTCACAGCATCTGTGGGCAACAGCTATTATTAACCTTGGAAACTTCATTTCGATTAGCACTTACTTATACTTGGAGTCTCACCCAGGGCTCTTGGCTTAACAGAGAAAAGAGTATGGATTGCTTTACAACGCGCTTTCTTATCACTCTTCACATCCCTCCTTCTGATTCCAAATCCAAGTCTCTTTACCACTTCTTAGTTTATTATGATATTGGAAGGGAATGGATAAAAAAAGGAGTAGTTGATTCGTTTATCAAGTGCCTACTGCATGCCAGACTCTGTAACAGTTGAAGGAATAATAAGTTAGAAGGATTTCCAGCCCTGTTGGAGAGCATTGGCCATTCCCCATGTCTGTCTGTCCCCCAAAATGCAGGGGAAGAAGTGGTGTTGACCTGAAGGTGGAAGAGTCAGGGAGGAGAGGTCCTGGAGGCTCTGAACTTAGCAGCCACACTGCAGGTCCCTCTCTAGCTCATGAGTTGGTGGAGCCCTTGTGATGCTGCCCCTGGCAGCCTGCCCAGCCTTGAACCTTCCCAGCCAACTAGGTCACCAGGTCTCTCTGTGCCAACCCAGCCCAGCCTATGGAGGCCGCCCATGCTCAGGACCCTTGTTTGAGTACCAGATCTGCAATAGCAAGGACTGTCCTGGGCCTTATGAGGACTTCCGGGCCCAGCAGTGTGCCAAGCGCAACTCCTACTACATCCACCAGAATGCCAAGCACAGCTGGGTCCCCTATGAGCCGGATGACGGTGAGTACCTCCCCACCCCTGGTGTCTTGGGCACTCATTGGGGCCATGTGAGCCCACCCTCCTCTGCTTCCACCAGTGAAAGTGAAGGGATATCAAGGCATCAAAGAGGATGCTCTCTGGCTCAGGTTTAGAATGCCAGAATCCTCAAGCTGAAAGGGACCTCGGGGGCCTGTCACTGCAGACTGCTCTGGGCACCCTTGCTGGGAGTGTTCTTCCTTCTGCTTGGACTCCTCCCATTCTGTGGTAGTCTGCCTAGGTGTGCTGGTCAGACCTGCCTGTATTGGAACACCTAGGCCCAGGTCCCACTGGGAATCTGGTTCTGGTGCAGAAGATCCAAGGCCATTTTGGATGTTGTAGCTCCAGCCTGGAGTCCTGTGTGTTGGAGGCAAGAGGTCATCAGGTGTCCTGTGAGATTTGGGACGAGGAGCAGGAATAGCTAAGTTTCTTAGGAATGGGCTATAGCAGAGGCTCACTATGGAAGCCTTCTGGGCGCATCAGAACCTGAACAAGCAGCCATTGTGTGCAGAGGGCAGCAGGGAGACCCCGGAAGCAGCTGGATTTTGGGCTTTTCCCAGAACTTGTAGACAAATCCCAGGAAATCAGCTAAGCTGCAGCCTTGCTTCTAAGAAGCACAGTGACTGTTTACATGTTCTCTGGAGCCTCCCTTTTAGGACATCAGCAGCCAGGATAGGAGAATATTTCACTGTCAGACAGGGAGGGACCTTTTCCCCCTGCCCTGCTGCAACTCCATTCACAGCTCACATCCAGGCCAGCATTTGGCCTGACTTTCTCATCACAAACTGATGTGTGTGAACATGTTCAGATGCACCAAAGCTGTGATGCATGTGCCCGGTAACAAGGGGTAGAGGTCTGCCACTCAAGCTGGACTACCCAGGTTGGAATCCTGCCAAACTGCTCACTGTGTGGGCCACAAGCAAGTTCTTTAACTTTCTGTCCTCAGTTTCCTCCTCTGTCATGCTAGAACCTGCCTCGTTAAGGTGGTTGCATGAACTAATTCATGAGAAGCATTTAGAGTTGTATATCAAGGGTGTGTGAAGGCTTTGCAAATAGCCAGTACACGGTAAGCACTAAGCATTGGCTTACATTCTTACTATTTTGTCACTTGATTTTTCTCAGTAACCAAGTGATGTGGCATTTTACCCCTCAGAGTGTTTGGCCCAGGTCACACACCTAGTCAGTGAGTGCCTCGGCAGGGATCTTGAGTCTTCACTCCACAAAGAGGGCACCCACCCTGTCCCAGGCCAACCCCGGCGTCTTAGCTGGGCTGTGCACTGGTGTCATCCTGTGCCACCTGCTCTCTACCAGCCCAGCTGAGGCTCGGTGTGGTCCCTCTGCCCACAGACACCCAGAAGTGTGAGCTGATCTGCCAGTCGGTGGACACAGGTGAGGTGGTGTACATGAACCAGGTGGTCCACGACGGGACGCGCTGCAGCTATCGCGATCCATACAGCGTCTGTGCCCGCGGCGAGTGTGTGGTGGGTGCCATCCGGGGGACGCTCCGCGGTGCTGTTCTCATGCTCCATAGGAGATAGTGTGGCCTCATATACTGAACTCAGGAAGCCCCTGGATCCCAGTACAGCCCTGGGGTGCTGGAAAGGGCTCAGTGCCCAGCCCCATATCCGGGAGAGGAGATGGCAGGAATGAACAGGCCAGGTTGAGGTCACATGGTCAATTTGGGGGAGGGCCTTGTCTTGGGCGGGCTTTGGGCCAGGGATCCACTCCAGCCAGGGGCTAGGGACTAGGAAGGGAACCAGGGGTTGCTAGCCTGGGCGGTATGCTCCTTCCATTCACCTCACCTCTGCCTCAGCCCATGGGCTGTGACAAGGAGGTGGGGTCCATGAAGGCAGATGACAAGTGTGGAGTCTGTGGCGGTGACAACTCCCACTGCAGGACCGTGAAGGGGACGCTGGGCAAAGCCTCCAAGCAGGCAGGTGAGTGGGCTGGGGCTGGGTGACCCTTGTATAGCCTCCCCCCTTGATCCAGGCCATAGTCCTGGCAGGGTGGAGGGACCCTGGAGCCTGTCTCATTGTAGGGTTGGTGACTCTGAGAAAGGCCTTGAATCAAGGCAGCCATGTGGGATCCTCATGGCCCATTTATCTAAATCCTGACAGTAGTTCAAGTGTGAGAAGAAAGAGGGAGAGAGAACTCAAAGGAGCAAGGAGGGGAAAGAGCAGAAGTGAGAGAAGAAGTCAGGAAGGTGGGGAATCATAGCAACACATACGTGTGCGTGCCATGGCCCTGGCAGGGTCCTATCTGCAGTTTACAGGCTAGGGAACAGGACTGGCGAGGGTCTGTGCCTGATGAGATGTTCCTGGGTCCTCAGTGGGGTGGGGTGTTGGGCAGGGGCCCCCTGCTCAGGACATTCCCTGCTGTCCTGTGTCCTCCTTTGGCAGCAGCTCTCAAACTGGTGCAGATACCAGAGGGTGCCAGACACATCCAGATCGAGACGCTGGAAAAGGCCCCCCACCGCCTTGGTGAGTGTGGGTCCCTGAGGTTTGGGGTACTGGGACAGCCCTGGGCAGGGTTCCAGTACAGATGGCGCTCCGTGGGCTTGAATCATGGAGAGAGGACCCTTCTTATTTTAAAATTTGTGCTGTATGGGTGATTCTTATTTCAGGAGGTCTACAAGGAGATCTAGTGAACAGCCCCCCATCTCTGTCCCTCAGGGGCAGTTCCTTCCCCACAGGCAACCACTGTTCAGATTTCTTATATACACATAGATGCCTTTTAAAGGAAAATCATCGTTACAGAGTATATGTGTCAGTTGTTGCTGTACAACTTACTACCGCTGCGTGTAAAGTCTTAAAATAATTAGGCTGAGGATTTAGCTCGGTGGTTCCGCCACCTGCTTCATAAGCATAGGGTTCCAAGTTTGATCCCTGGTCCCACCCCCCCCAAAAAAAAAAAGCTAGTTTTGAGCTGTCTGGGTGGACCCATGCCGCTCTTATCAGCTGTTGGTCTTTTGGAAGCTGGCTGGCCCAGTATGCATGGGGTTAGTACTGGCTGTCAGCTCAGGTCATTAGGGTGACACAGCCGTGTCTCCAATGGGCTAACCAGGGGTTATTCACCTAGTGTCTGTCATGTGGTCCTCAGCAGGAGCACAAGAGTATAAGCACTTCTCAAGTCTTTGCTTGCATCCATTTCTAGTGTCCATTTGACCCACATCTAGTGTTCATGGCCAAGCCACTGTGGGAGGCTGAGGCTGGAAGATTCCAAGTTCAAGCCCAGCCTGGGAAACTTAGCAAGACCCTGTTCTCAAGAAAAAAAAGAAGAAGAAGAAGAAGAAGAAAAAAAAAGACTAGGGTTGTAGCCAGTGGGAAAGCCCTGAGTTCAATCCTCTGCTCTGAAATACACACACACACACACACACACACACACACACACGTGCGCGCGCACGCACACCCTTGTAAAACTCCAGTCTGTTGATGGAAGAAATGGTAAAGTCACCATGCAAGGAGCATTGCTGCATTGCAGTTAGGAGTGGGAGGAATTGAGGACTATTTCTGCAGTCCACCACCCATTTTAATGCTACTTAAACTTAGAGTCACTAATCCACCTTGTATGCTTATAAACAACTATGGGTCCAAGACAGGTTAAAAATTAGAACCCCAAAATGAATTAAATAAAAAATTCCAGGGCCAGAGATTTAGCTCAGTGGTGCCACCGCCTGCCTTGCAAGCCCAAGATCTGGAGTTTGATCTGTGGTACAAAAAAAAAAAAAAAAAAAAAAAAAAAAAAAATTCCAGTTACAAGAATATTAACATGATGTGAAAGATGTTTTATTTTGTTTTTGCTGAAGGCAAATTGGCAGAAGAGGCAAAGCCAGAGACATAAAATAGATTCGTGGGTGCCAGGAGTTAGGGGGAGGAGATGGGGTGGCAGCTAATGGGTATTGGGTTTCTTTCGGGGTGATGCTAATGTTCTAGGATCACACAGTGATGACAGCTGCATGTATAAAACATCACCGAATCACACACTTTAATAGGATGTCCTGTATGTGGTGGGTTTTACCCCAATTACAGACTCTTGAGCATGGTTTGGAGCAGAGCCTGGTGGGCTGTGTGCAGCAGGCTGCTTCTGCAGTAGCTGGGATCTCCCAGAAGGCATGTGGCTGCGCTGTCACCTTGGCACGGTCCCCACTAACCTATTACACCCACCGAGTCACACTGCTCTGGCACCTGCACCATCATAAGCGCTGATACAGAGCACGACATGACTTGGAAATCTCAAATGGAAAAATGCTGACAGTCGTATTTTAGATTATTATCAGTAAGCCTCCCGGAGAATGTGCCTGGCCTGGGTAAGACGTCCGCATTGGTGTCTCTCTTTAGCACAACTTGATTGGCTCCTAACCTGCTCTGGGAGCACTGGGAAGGACATGGTCCACACAGGCAATAGGCACAAGTGCAAACAGGCCTGCCATGAATTTTGGTCCTTGTGCACTCTAATTCGCCTTTGCCGGCCAGGGGCAGAGCCGGCCTGGGACTCTTGTGTCCCATCCTGGTCCTCTGCTATAGTGAGCATGAGTTTGTAAGACATTGGTGCAGATATTTCCTACCCACTATTCCTGCCAGGTTGGAATTGGGGCAGGAGGGAGGGGAAGTTACTCTGACACTGCTTTTGCCGCCTCCCTGGGATAATGATTCCTGAATGTTAGCAGCCAGCCTCTTCCACCTGCTCGGCTTCTGAAGCCTGGTTCCTTGGACCCCATAGATGGGGAACATTCCTTGTGGGCCAAGAGCTGCTTCCTGTGGAGAAGCAAGGGGCTGTCGGGACAGGGGCAGATAGAGTGGTGGCGCGTGGGAAGTCTACAGGCACAGGAGTAGAGGTGACTGCAGGATGGAAGCTGGGTTAGCCAGGGTCATGTGAGGTACACGGTGGACCCTCTGCACATGTGTGGAGTGTGAGTATGTGTGTGTGATGCATGCCTGGGTGTATGTGTTTGCTGGGGTAGATGCTCTTTGCAGAAGCCCAGGGTGGTGGCAGCCTTGGCAGTGAAGGCCATAACTGCCCAAATGAAGCCACACTTTATCCATGATCTCATTGGAGCCTTGTGATGATCTATGAGGGACACTATCATCCCATTTTACAGCTGGGAAGACCAAGGCAGTATGGGGGGGCTGAGTCACTTCCCATGGCACCTGTGACTCTAGAGCTGAACTTGTCACCTCTATATCTTGATACAGAAGCCCCACGGAAGGCAGCATCCATAAGGGTGGGGCAATCAAAGCAGGTTTCTTGGAGGAGAAGATTACTTTGAGCCTTAACTATAGATGGAGAATAGTCAGGAAGAAGGGAGGCAGTGAACGTGGGAGCAGTGGTGGACACCAGGGTCCAGAGGCAGGAGGTATTGTGTGGACCTGTCTGGTGGAAGGATTCAGGTGGGAGGGGTGGCAGGCAGATGGGGGGTGGGCAAGGGCCCACTGGGAAGGCCTTTGTTCTCATATTCACCAGTCCCTTTAGTAGAAACTAGAAATCTGTGTGCCCCTCTCCTCTGGCCAGTGGTGAAGAACCAGGTCACCGGCAGCTTCATCCTCAACCCCAAGGGCAAGGAAGCCTTTAGCCGGACCTTCACTGCGCTGGGCCTGGAGTGGGAGCATGAGGTGGAAGATGCCAAGGACAGCCTCAAGACCAGTGGGCCCCTGCCCGAAGCCATTGCTGTCCTGGTGAGCCCCATTCCCAGCAGTGGCCCCTCCTCGCCCCTTGTCCTGTGCTGTCTGCTGCCCACACAGCCTGGTGGAAGCTGCCGGTTCCCATGCCTGCAGGAGGCCAAGGCACTGACTCTTGGGCAGCTCCTCATTGGTGCTTAAGAGCTGGCAGCATGGCAGGTGAGGAGGGCAGAGGCTGTCGTCCCCTCTGTCAGACCTCAGGAAGCCACACGTAGGAAGTCTGTTCTTTACCCAGGGTGGGAAATGGGGCCTGGGGCAGGCATCAGACAGGGGTCAGGGTGGTTCCGCAGGTCACCAGGCATCCTTCAGCATCAGAATGCATTGTTGGCATGGTCAATATGAGAATCCTAAGGTGGCTTTCTCAAGCCTTTAAAGCAGTTGATCTGGCATCTTCTGAAGTCAGGGGGTGCTATCTGGCAGTGCCAGCCTTCTAAGAAGGGGACAGGGCCATTGTCCTAGCTAGGTCCCATCTCTGTCTTCCTCAGCCTGGACCAGGGATGGTAGAGCCAGGGTGGCTAAGCAAGCAGACTAGCTCGTGACAATTCGGTCCATATTCCCTCAGCTCTGGTTGGTACCATGGAGATCTTAGACAGGCTTTGCTCTTAGTGTTGCCCTCCCAAATCAGCGAGGTCCTAGAGGTTGGGCTCTGTGGCTATTGCATCACCATTTTAATTCCATCCAACACTATTTTCTATTCATTTTATATTCATTGACTGCCTGTATATCTGGAGCCAGCTGATTTCCAACAAAGGTACCAAGGTCATTCAAGGGAGATAAATAGTCTCAAGAAATGGTGCTAAGACAACTGAATATTCACATGGAAAAGAATGAAGCTAGATCCCTACCTCACACCTTACACAAATATTAAACTCAAAGCAATTCGAAGAGCTAAATATAAGAGCTGAAATCATAGAACTCTTAGAAGCAAACAGTGGGGTAAATCTTTATGACTTAGATTCTTAGATATACTACTGAAAACAGCCAGGGATTTAGCTCAGTGGTTCCGCTGCCTGCCTCACAAGTGCAAGGTCCCGAGTTGGATCCCTAGTACAAACCAAAACCAAAACCAAAACCAAAAAAATTTAAAAAATTTAAACTACTAAAAGCATAAGCAACAAAAGAAGAAATGGGTAAATTAGATTTCACCAAAATGGAAAATGTATGTCAATACACGCTCTTAAGAAGTGGGAAGATCACAGGATGGGAGAAAATATTTGCAGATCATGTATCTGACAAGGATCTGGCATCCATGTTGTGTGTCTTGACATCTTCTAAAGTCAGAGAGTGAGCAAAAGACCCAAGGACATGGGTCCTGCCCTCTTTAGAACATAGAGGAGAAAAGCGTTCACAGGCTTGGTACTGACCAGCTGCTCTCAGGCCTTGCATACAGCAGGTATTTAATTTAGGAAGCAGGAGTTTGTCATACAGCTGCCACCTCACCCACCCCAGCCATACTTGGCACTGTCCCCATCCCTGTCCTTAACCCACATCCTTCTCTTTGGTCCCATCCCAGCCCTGCTGCTCTTTCTGGTCCTGTGCCACCTGCTCCCCGTCTCCCCTCAGGTGCTCCCCCCAGCTGAGGGTAGCCCCCGAGGCAGCCTCGCCTACAAGTACATCATCCATGAGGACCTGCTGCCCCTCATCGGGAGCAACAATGTGCTCCTGGAGGAGACAGACACCTACGAGTGGGCGCTCAAGAGCTGGGCCCCCTGCACCAAAGCCTGCGGAGGAGGTGCCGGCTCTCCTGATCCCCCAGTCCCCAGTAGGGCAGCAGGGCCTCTGGGGAGCAGAGGACCTGGGAAGGGTGGGGGCCTGGTGTTGTCTCCTTTTGACATGGTCTTGCTCATGCTTGTTTCCCCTGGAAGATCTCCTGTATATGGACTAGGACTAGGGCTGGGGTGGGGTGCCCCGGGCAGGCCCTCTACCTATGAGAGCTGGCCTTCTGGGCACAGGCAGCCATCCAAAGCCACTGCCCACCAGTGCTGCACCAGGGAGCAAGAGACAGACCTCATCAAGGCAGGCAGAAATTGCCTTGGGCTGGAGGGGACCCAAAGGCACCAGGGAGGTGGGATTCCCCCCCGCCCCAGCCCTCCAGAAGGTCGCTGCCTGAAGACCCGGAGAGGGCAAGGGAAGACCCAGAGTGGACTCACAGCAGCCCACCCTTCACAGGTATCCAGTTCACCAAGTACGGCTGCCGGCGCAGACGGGACCACCACATGGTGCAGCAGCACTTGTGTGACCCCCGGAAGAGGCCCAAGCCCATCCGCCGGCGCTGCAACCAGCACCTGTGCCCTCAGCCTGAGTGAGTGCTCTGGAGCCTGGCCCCTGCTTCTCACTGTCCTGACCCAGGAGGAGGGGCTGCTCACCTTCCCAGTAGCACAGAGCAGCCCACAGGAAGCACCCACTCCATGCACAGCCACGCCCTTTGGGATTTCTGGGTCACTAATTTCTACTCCTAAAGAAGGAAGAATCTTCCAGACGTGGTTTTCCCCTAGTAGTGGCAGGTAGCTCTGATATACACAGTGGATTCTGTGCTTGCTGACCCCAGTCCTCAGGCCAGGATGCCGGCCCCCAGCGTAATCTGCCCCACACTTGAGATTCCCCTGCCTGAGGACACAGGCTCTTTTGAGCCCAGGGTTGTGTTGTGGGGATTATTTGGAGAGACCTTCAGGGAGCAGTGAGAGCTATGCCTTGTGATGAACTCTAGGTCAGAGCCAGAGTGGACGTGTAATCCGGAGCCAGGGTGGGAGCCGGTGGCCAGCGCAGTCTGCTGTGACCATGCTGTGCCCAGCACAGGCTGTGCTACACAGCCTCTCCTGTGCCCAGCGCAGCTTCGTACCCACCTTCTGTGCTGTCCCTTCACCCCAGCACCCAGACTAAACGCACAGGCCTGACCGGAGAGCCTGCGTGGGGGCTGGCTAACTGCCTGCAATCCTGGGTGGGCTTCTCCAAGTCTTGGAGTTTTCTTTGGTTTTAAAGGAACAGGTTGGCTTGGAAAAAGTGCCCCGAGGAGCCCCTGTTTACTAAAAGCTCTGAGAAAACTGAGGCAGAGAAGGACTTGGCTTGGCAGTTGGAAGTTGCTGGGCTACTAAAATGCTTGCAAGCACAAGGACCGGAGTTCAATCCCCGGTACCAAAAAATAAATAAATAAAAATAAAATGCTTGCAGACCACCTGCGGAGCTGCTAGGGAGTGAGGCTGGGGTGTGGGGGGGTGAAGAGTGCCCCTCTCGTCCCATGGGGGCGATATCTGGGAAAGTGTGGCTTTGGTTTGTTTGGGCACTGCCACATTTCATTGTCCGGGACACTCTCCGCACATGGGAGGCACTCAGATATCTAAGGGATGCTGAAACCTGGTCCAAAGAGGGGTCTGTGGGGCTTAGTGGGGCTAGTAGTTAACACAAGAACACACAGGTGTCAGGCTTCAGCACACTGTGCTGCCTCTCTTGGGGAAGCAGCAGGAGAGAACTGTAACCTTGCTGAGGCCACACAGCAGGCAGCTACAGAACCAGGTGAACAGTTGTCTGGGTCCTTCACCTTCTGATGCCAAACCCACTCTCTGGCTCTCACTATGTCCATCTGGGGGTAGGAGGTGACACCTTGGAGGAAGTATCCCCTTGCTGCACCTTCTCCCCACCTTATGTCCTGTCTGTCTCCAGGTGGGTGATGGAGGAATGGAGTGCCTGTAGCCGGAGCTGCGGGAAGCTGGGAGTGCAGATTCGGGGGGTACAGTGCCTCCTGCCCCTCTCCAATAGCACCCATAAGGCCATGCCAGCCAAAGCCTGTCCTGGTGCCCGGCCTGAAGCCCGGAGGCCCTGCCTCCGCATTCCCTGCCCAGCCCAGTGGCGAACAGGAGCCTGGTCCCAGGTGAGTCACCTTCAGCAGGCCAGAGGCACTCAGGAAAGAGGCAGGTCTGGGTGGAGGAAGGTTCAAAGGGATTTCCTGGTGCCCTGTGCAGGCAGAGAGATTCTGTCTGAGCTTTTCCACACCCCATCTGGGTGTCCTCAGATCAACATGGTGTTACTCCCACATCCATCATTCGTGTCTATGCGCTAGACCTTTATGGCCCTTCACATCTGCTCTAAACTCACAGGGCACCAGCAGCCACAGGAAACATCCCTGCATCCCACAGGAGCAAACTAAAGCATATCCTAACCTTCCAGAAATGCTTCATGTGAGGCATTGTACAAAGTATGCCAGGAACCCAGCATCAACAGGAACAGGGTTTCACCTGCAGCTTACAGTCCCCCGAAGGAGACATAATAAACACATAAACCAGTGACAAACATAGCATTCACAGATCGGCCTGCTGGATCTGTGCAGGGCTGTGGGAATGTGACCAAAGACCGAGGGTAGTCAGGGAGGGCCTGCTTTAAATAGTATCTAATAGAGTAGTTTTCTTTAAGAACTGAAACTCCCCCCTTGAGGCTGGGGGCTGTGTGTTGCTCAGCGATAAAGCACTTGCCCAGCACGTATGAGGCCCCAGGTTTTATCCCCAGCATACATGAGTGAATGAAAGAATAAATAACAAAATATCCGTACGCACCTGAGACTTCACATTCTCCTCCATAATGTAGAGCTTTGTTTGATTTGATACCAAACAGAAAGATTGCTGGTCCTTGAAGGCACCAGAGATAAACTAACAGATGAGGAGGTGGAAGGTAGAGTCCCCGTGAGACTGGCCAGTGCTCTTTGTGTGACTTTTGTCTGTTATTTGTCCCAAGCAGGTGATTCATGGTTGTCCCATGGTGGCCCCTTGACCTTGATGTTTCACTCGGTGGTCACATGCCCCAGTATGCAAGCTCTTTCCTTTCTGCTGAGATGCTGTGGTCAGTGTGTAGAAAGCGACACAGTCACATTGGGCAAACTTGCTCTCCTAGGGTCCTTGTCCTGCCACCTGGGACCCTCCTGCCAACCCACTCAGCAGAGTGGGAAGAGTGTCAGGTGTGGGGGACAAGGAGTGTGGCAGCCCTTGCACCTACAGTGTTTCTTCTGCTTTCTGCCTTTCCTGCTGAGGAAGAAGATGCTGTAAACAAGCATGTCTCTGTGAACCAGTGTTAGGTCCATCAAATCATGAGGTCATTGAATGTCAGAGATAGAAGGGTCTGTAGAGCTTCTGTCACTTAGGTCTCTTGGGTTATAGAATTGGGAACTGAGTTGGGGACAGCAGGCACCACAGTTCAGCTACCTGCCCTTAACAAGGCTCATCAAGTGGATTGCTCTGCCCTAGCTCACACCACTTGAGGGATCACAACAGGAGCTTGCCAGGGTGATACGTAGGCTATTTGAGAACCTGGGCACAGACCAGGCACAGAGGACACTGTTGATTGTATCTGGAATGAGTCCCAGAAGTCCCTTCCCAAGCCAGTGGTTCACTGTTTAGGTTATAGAGGGGTCCATGGGGCCCTGAGCTAGGGTGGCAGCTCGACCACTGGTTGAGGAGAATCTGAAGCCAGAAGTGGTGTCCTGGGGAGGCTGTATTTGGAAGCGGTTCTTGCACATCAAGTGAAGATGTGGCTCCTGCCTCTGTCCTCGGGCTCTGGCTGCACTCTGAGCTCACGGGTCATCCTGTCTCTCCCCTCACCACCTTGGTCCCCACTCTCCCAACAGTGCTCTGCCACCTGTGGAGCGGGCGTCCAGCAGCGGCAGGTGGTGTGCAGGACCACCGCCAACACCCTCAGGCAGTGCGAGGGGGACAAGCCGGGCACTGTGCAGGTCTGCAGCCTGCCCGCCTGTGAAGGTGAGCCGGCGGGTGGGGAGGCCTGGCCCAGCTCCGCTGGTCTTAGCCTTGCACCCAGCCCTTGTGTGCAGGCCTGTAGAAATCCCAAGTGCAGGTTGAATATTCCTAAATCCAGAAATCCAGAATCCAAGATCAAAAGCTTGCTGAGGGTGGGAATAATGCTGCAAGTTGAAAATTCCATACCTGACCTCATAGGAACAGGTCCAGAAAACACAGTTTAGCCAACATCCCCAAGGGAGGACCCTCCCAGTACCTTCCGCTGTGACACTCAAGCTTTGTTTCATTCCTCAAATTATTAAAATTTAAAGCTAATAATTAGGATAGCACAAATTAGTATAGTTAATAACTTAAAATTTTAAAATAAATTTCACAATTACTGATATCTGGTATAATAATTATTTAAAATATTTGCATACTATTATGTTCATGCTATATATAAGAAACAGATGAACTTCATGTTTAGACTTGGGTCCTGTCCATTTATTATGTAAATAAAAATATTCTAAAATGTGGAGAAAAATCTGAACCTCGAAATGTTTTTGGTCCTGAGCATTTTGGATTCCAGGTGCTCTCAGTACTGAGGCTGTTTCTCCTTACTCTAGGAAACCTCCAGAACTCCACGGCAACAGCAGAGATCCAGGAGCTTGTGACCCTGGAGGGACGGCACATGTCGGAGTCGGGGCCTCTGCCTCCTGTGAACCAGCGATCACCAAGTAAGTGCAGCCCCGGACCCCTGCCTGTCCCTGGACCTTTTGGGAGGTCCAAAATATGACTGTGTAGCTAGCAGAACAGACCCAGCATGCAGTCTGTGTCTGTAGCTGGGAAGTGAGGATGCTTCTACACTGGTCCATGACTTCTCTGCAGTTCTGAGATGCTGAAAGCCAGAGGCTTTTTCTCCTGACTTTAGTGCACACTGCTTTGGTGACAAAATCTGAGCCAGACTAGCACAAGATCGTGTATGCTTCTGCTACAGAAACCTTGCCATATTTTGTTACATGGTGATAGTCCAAATTCCGCTGAGGATGGTCTAGGGTACAAATACACAGAGAATTACTTTTATGAGCCCCAAAGGCCTGGATTCTGAGTCCTGTCTGGTTCTAAGATTTTTAGATAAGCCATTGTAGATCTGAGTTGCTGTCATACTGCTGTTGACAGATGGAATGAGGGTACGCATGTGCTCCTGACTAGCTCTGCTAACAGCAACACAACAGGAAGAGCATTTTCTCTCTGTCTTGTGACTAGAAGCTGGTCAACTCATCCCCCACTTCTTCCTTCCTTCCTTCCTTCCTTCATTCACGAATAAAGTTTGCCAGGCACCTGTTATGCAGCAAGCAGGCTATGTGGTCCAACCTCCCTTCCGAGGTTCCTTCTTTCTTTCTCTTTCTCACCCTCCCAAGAACCAGGGTCTGGCAAGATGAATAGCAGAAAGATTAGACTCCAACCCTTCCTTAGAAAACCAGGCATGGCTGTGTGTCTTTGTGCAAATCCTTCAAACACTGTTTCTTTGCTTCTGGGCTGAAGCTCAGGTAGCTCCGGTTCCTGGTTCCTGGATTTTCTTCTTTGCCTCCAAAATGCAAGTGCTTGGGTCCTGATTCTGGTCCTGGACTTCGGGTGCCACCTAGAGGCCACTGGCTTTGCATTTTCCCTGATCTGTTTCCCTAAGCTCCCCACCCCCAACTGTCTTTGGCAAAAACTTAGTAGAAAGCCACATTTCTTGCTTTCTTCCATTCTTCTTAGAGGGCCCTTCCTGCATTCATCACAGAAATGTGTTCAGATGCTGCTTAAAGCAAAGCAAACTAGTATCATGAGCATCCTTCTATTCTGGCCACTTTATAAGTGTCATTTATAATTGTAATGTTACCGTCCATTGGCACATGCAACATTATCCTTATTTTACAAACAGAGATCCTATCCAAGGCCTCACATTGTTTCACCCTAAACTTAAATCTCAGTTTACTCGCTTGCAAAGTTAGTGGTAGAGGGCTTAGGGGTCCAGATTGCACTGACTGCTGGCAGGACATTGATCTGCTTGTTAACCTGGGCATGAGCTCCCTGGGCATTGGCCTGGCTGAAGGGGTTAGAGCCCTTTGGGTTGACTGGGAAGAGTAAGGGTCCCTGTTTCCATCCAGAATAGTGTCCTCGAACTTTGCTGCAGGGTAGACTCACCCTAGGACCTGGGCACATCTTAGACTGCTCAGGCTCGCTGGGGCCGAGGCAGTCACGGCCTGTACAGAAGCTACCAGATGATTCTGGAGCAGCCAGTTCTGTGGACGCATCACACAGGGCCCCAGTTCTGGGGTTTTCCCACATACTGGATTCCCCTGGTGCTGTAGATCTGGATCATTTGTGAGTGGGAAGCCCACTGAGATCTACTTCTCCGGCGGCTCAGTTACTCTTCCATATAGAAGGTCTCACTCTGCCAGGTTGTCCAGGGGGCCTTCTGGGCTAAAAAGAGTAGTGAGTGCAGCAGGGTTGGGCATGGAGGCTGGGCAGATGGTAGGTGAGTGGGAGGTGGGTTGCGTGTCACCCAGACAGTGGGCATTCCCTAGCACTGTCCTTGTGCTGTGTGTGCAGCAGAGCCCTGCGTGGGGGACAGGTCCATCTTCTGCCAGATGGAAGCGCTTGATCACCACTGTGCCATCCCTGGCTACTACCGGCTGTGCTGCGAGTCCTGCTCCAAAAAGGCCTCAGGCCCCAACACCAGCCCGGACCCTGGCCTGCCCTCCACACCTACCGTCCCCACTCCTGGGAGCCCTTCACCACAATCCAAGACCACTCCCAACGTCATGGAGCCCACCATGGAGCCGGCAGGACTGGATGACCATCAGCATGGCCAACCCACACAGCTCCCGGGGCCACCAGATAGGAGGTCCTCAGTCACCCTGCCCCACTTGGTCCCCCAGACCCTGAGCCCCAGAGCATTTGGGGGCACCTCCCCTGCCACCCCTCAGGGACCACCTTGGGGCTGGACCCTTGCAGCTGTGCCAGCCTCTGAGGACCAAGGGCAGCCCAGAGAGGAATCAAGGCATCTGGGCACCAGCCTTCCCACCACCTCCCCAGTGACATGAGCCACACCACACTATCCTGTCAGTCACGTTTACACTCCTTGTGCTGCCCCGGTGACCCCAGCTCAGAGGATCCATGCAGCGGGGTAGGGGCAAGCACAGACTTCCTTTTAAATTATTTGCCTCTTGTTCCTATTTGGGGCTGTGACACTCTCTCCCCCATGACAGAGGGTGGGAGGAAGAAGATCAGGGAAAGCCTGAACCGGACATACCTCAGCCAGCAGTCCCCAGACTGAACCTCTCAGGATTCCTGGGGCCTTTGAGGGTCGAGGGTCGGCCAGCGCCCTTCCCCAAAGCCACCAGGCCCCAGGCAGCTCTGAAGATAATGCTGGGAGCTGTCAGGGTGCCTGCTTTCCCAGGACTTGGGAGGACCCCTGTTTAGGCCCCAGAATGGCAAAGCAGGCAGAGGGAGGTAGAGACTGCCCACTGGGCAGGCTGGGGAAGGACCTGTAGCGAACGTGATGGCCAGCTTCCCCGGGTTGGGCATAGAGGGCAGACAAGTTCACCTCAGGCCCCGCTGTCCTCAGCCAAGAGCCCCACGCAGCTTCACAAGCCAAGGCTGGGGAGAGGCCAGCTCACCTCTGCTGGGAGTGCAGTGTTCATGGCCGCACTTTGCTACTGTGGCTGTCACTTCTGTTATTTCTGGTGATTCCGTGTTACAGACTGGTCATATGCCCAGCCCAGAGGAGGGGTCAGGTTCTGCTGGCCCCCAAGTCCTCATCATCGGGGGTTCCCGAACTGGTGCTGGACCCCGGCTGGACCAGGAATCGGCCCTGCATGGCTAGGAGTAGGCCGGCCTAGAAGACGCCTGGGACACACAGGAGACGTGACTTCTCGGGCTGTGCCCCTCGGCCATCGTCCTCTGCCGCTGTCTGCTCCTGCTGGAGTCAGGGATCCTCTCCTGCTTGGCTTGAACCAGGCCAGGGTGTGTGGTGCTCTGAGGACCAGAGTCTGCTGAGCCAGGTCCAGAGGAAGACAAGGGTGAGAGCCCGGCCTCTGCCCCGAAACTGGGGTGAGGAGGGCACACTAACCCATGGTGCTGCAGGCCCTCAGCCAGGCCAGCCATCCTCCCTGCTACCTCCTGGGCCCTCTGGCCCTTGGGAAGTAGCCCTGGCTTTTAGGCTTCCCGGGGTCCTCACTCCTAGGGCCTGGAGGGATCTCCAAGCTCTCAGCAGGTGATCCCAGCTCATAGAGGTGCTTGTCACACTCCCTTCCCAGATAAGAAGAGGAGGAGCAATGGTGCCGTGCCCTGCAGCCTCCTTGGGGAGTAGAAGTCCTGAGGCCCTAGGTGTTCTCCCAGGGATGCCCTCCCTTCTATAGGTTGCTGGGGCATACACCAAATCATTCCTGTAAGGACTAGCCTGGCCTGGTATAAACCCTGTGCCTCGGAGACCCAGCTCTCTTAATGTTATGTATTTATTAACATTGCCCTTGGTGCTTTGTTTTGGACCCCAAAAGCACTTCTGTGTGTTTTTCTTTTTTTCTTCTCTGTTTTGGGGCAAGGGGACAATGGAGCCAGAACTGTAAGGGGCTGGGCTGGACGGTAGCAAGATGGTGAGGGGTGGGATGGCAGGGAGGGCACCACCGAGGAGCTGGGTGGCCTTTCAGGTCACCACCCAAAGGGTGGAGATGCCTGGGAGGTAGTTTTGGCATCAACAGCAACAAAAGTGTTCAGATACTCAGAGTTTTTCAAATTTCCCTTCAGGAGCTACCCTTCTGTAAGCAGCTGCCATCAGGCCTAGGAGTATCCCTGAGGTGACCCAGCACACCTCAGGGAAACTGAGCCAGGGAGATGCTAGTGCAGGCCTCTGAAGCAATCTCAGGATGACTCAGGCAGGACTTCTGTGAGCTCAGAGCCCAGAGTATGGCCAAACAGAGGAGGATCGTGGGCCCTCCACAGACTTCCTCTTGGTCTGGTGCAGTTATGCCATGGAGGTCATGTGGGCTGAATGGGGCCCTCTAAGAGCCCTGGTAGCCCAGCTCTAACAGCGATCCCGGCACACTGCAGGGGGCAGCAGTAACTCATGGAACAACATGCCCACGTGTCCCTGTCTTGTGCCCGGGGCAGATGTTGCCAATTTATCACCGCATCATTCCCTCTGAGCCCAGTTCCACCCCAAGAATCCTCCACATAATGCTCTGGGCAGTGGACACTGACCATTGACATTGTCAGGACAGGGAGCCAGGAGTATTGGGTCAGTAATTTAAAATTTGCAGCACTGGAAATCCTCCCCCAATCAGTATCTCAGGCAGAAGCATAGCATCTAGAAGCAGAATCGCAGCACCTGAACGGAGGAGGAGGGACCCGGAAACCAAGCCCAGGATCCTGCACAGGGCCGGGTGTGGGGTGAGACATCTCCAGGAAGGCTTCAGGAGATTGCATTCTGAGGGGCCACTGCTCCCCTGCAAAAGGAGAATGGAAACTGACTTGCCAGGCCAACCTCTGAAATCAGAGACTGTGGGCTTTCTGAGGACGAGGGGCCTCCCAGGAGTGAGGTGGATCACTGGGTTCTTCCTGAGTAGGGATTAGGGGAACCAATCAGCTTGGGGGACAAGGGAGCTGTTGCCTGTGCACAGCAGTGGGCTTTGCCAGAGCCCAGGCCCTCAGCCTGGGGTCCTCCCACTTCTCCTGCCTCTCTGTGGCCTGCCCACCCCTGCAGGTCAACAGCTGTCCAGACTCGGCTTGGGCCATGGGACCCCAGCCACAGGTTACCTGCCTCTGTCCAGGGTACAGAACACTACAGGAGAGCATTACACGGCCTAGGATGTGGTTCAGTGGTAGAGCACTTGCCTAGCACTTAGGAGGCCCTGGGTTCCACCCGCCCACTGGAGGGAGGGAGAGATTCACTCTACCCTAACAAAGGAAGCAAGTGAACTAATTTCCAGAAGGTGACAAGCCTCTCTGGACTCAGGCCACACAGTGTCTGTCCCATCTTTGGTGAGATGTGAGTGGAAGTGAGCACCCTAAGAGCAGGTAAGGAAGTACTAGTGAGATGTTAATAGATGTTTATGGAGAAGCATGAGCTTTAGAATCACTGCCACCCTGTGCATGAGGGGAGTTTAAAAAGCAAGACCCATTTGCAGTAGCATCAAGAACACCAAATACTATGCACTGAAATCTATAAAGTATTGTGGAGAAAAACTTAAGAATCCTGTGTAAAGTAGGCCATGCCTCTAAATAAAAAAATCTCAGTATTGTTAAGACACCTGTCCTTCCCCGGGGCGATCATACTCTGGATGTGATCTGCCACCTTCTTGACCAGGGAGCCTAGCAAGTCCTCACCATGGTGTCCTCCATGTGTAACTGGCCTCCTTGGGGCTCCAGCCTGTGTCTTCATGTGGGACTCAGCTAGTGAGCCCTGCGGGCTCTTAGTGTGGAGGGGACAAGAGGGCTGGGCCTCAAGGAGGGCAGGAGACTCCTCCAGGGGGCAGCTCAGCCTCCACCTGTTCCTTGGAAGCAACCCAGCCATGGGGGGGGGTGGCTCTGGGCTCTTTCTTGTTGCAAACCCCCTAGAACTGAACCTCCAGGCCTTGTGACTTACACAGTAGGCAGGGGAGGGGATAGGTACAGAGCCTGGGTTACCTGACCTGGAGCTGGGTAGGCGCTTCCTGCAAAGCTCCTGCCCCCTGTCTGTGTTCAGGTGCCTGTGTCTTGGGGCCAGGAGTGTGCGTTGTGGGGGTGGAAAGAGAAATGGCAGGTAAGAATGTGACTGGATGGTGCCCAGGGATGCACCTGCCACTGACCAGATGTTTCCATGGCCCACCCCCAAATCCTTCTGTCTTTTAAAACTTCACGCGTGAACTACGTGTTCATTACTGACAAAATTTAAAACCTGATGAGAAATAAAATCCGTTTACCAAGGGGTAACCACAAACTAACAATTTTATAATTCTTCTAGATGTGTGCATGCATGTAAATATACCTACTACACACACACACACACACACACACAGTGGCCATTACAGTGCCTGCCATTGTAATTTGGTCTCCCCACACCACTGTCCTGCAGTAATACAGTGAACTGCATCTTTCCATCATGAAATATAGTGAGTTATCTCTTCGTTTCTCTTGCTGTCATTTTGTTTTATTTTGATAAAGGGTCTTGCTATGTAATTCAAACTGTCCTTGAACTCACTGCGCAGCTCAGTCTGCCCTCCAAATTGTGATCCTCCTGCCTCAGCCACCTGAGTGCTAGAATTATAGGCATGCACCACCAATCCTAGATACATCTTCATTTCTGATGACCACACAGTACCCCACTGCTTGGCTAGATGATCTTTTATTTAACCAAATCCTCTAGGTTTGTTTCTCAGTTTTGGTGTCATAAATAGTGATGTAAGAAAAACCCTTCACACTTACCTGGTTTTTCCTAGAAAATATTACCAGAAGTGTACTAGTGTGCAAAATACCCAAACCATGTCTCAAAGTCACTCAAGGCACATTTCCCAGTTTCCTTCCAAAAAGGTGGTTCAGATTGTAGTCTCTCCAGCGATGTAATAATATTGGACCCCAGATATTGTAAAGTCTGATTCTTCCCTCAAAACACCTACAGAAGTCGTGGGTATTCAATCAGGCAACACTTCCAGAACCTTGTGTATTTGCTGTGTACATGGCAAGAACTGCCATTCATGATGAAATCCCCAAGAGCCTGGGACAGTCCCAAGGGCCTTCGAATCACTAATGTCAGCCAAGAATTGCACCAAGTGGTCAACGGGCTGCAGAGGCAGAAGGGGGCCACAGGTGGGGGCCCTGGGTGTGGCCCAGCCTTGCCTGAGATTTGGGCCATTACTGCCTCACTCTTCTGCAAGCTAGAGGAAACTGCTCTGGCCTGACATTTATATTAGGAAGTCTATTTTCCTAATAAGCTCTTATACAGGGATGGGGACATTTACAAAAGGACTCACATATCCATTCTCCATATGCTCTTCCACCAGGTCTGTCCTCTGTCCCCTCAGCCAAAGGACTGCAGAGCCGGCCACTAGCCAAAACTAAGCGGTCAGCAGGCACTTTCTGCAGTGGTTAGAATTGGATCTATTGCTAATTTCCTGTGACTCACAGTGCAATTGAAAAAAAAGGAGGGGGCTTTACACAAGAACTCCCCTTGCTCTGTGACTGGAAACAAAATGCTTCCGAGCTCTCTGGGGCTGAGCTGCTTCCATAAAATGAGAGACTGACCTAGAAGCTCACTGGGTAGTGGTTCTGGGCCAGAAAAGGGGAAAGCACTTCACGCTGTCCCAGGGCCAGGAGGCCATTGCTGCCTGGGTACAGGATAATGAGGTCTCTGGAGAGCTGAGAATGCTGCATCAAAGGGTCAGTGAACAGGTCAGGGCTGCTGACTCTAGGCAAACCTTGTAAATAAGGTGGGGACTATCGTGCCTGAGAACAAATGCCATCAGGAATGAGGATCCTTCAAGAGAAAACGCAAATACTGCATTTTTAAATGTTCACAAAAGGTACTCCAAAGGTCGGATGAAGCCCACCAATAGTCTGGGTTTGGCATAGGGCCACAGCGTGCAGCCTCTGGTCTGCAGAAATGGGCTCAGGAGCTGGCACAGCTGCGGTGGAGATGGCCTGCTAGGTGGGGCTGGGCAGGGCGGGACCCACCTAGATCCTCTAGTAAGGAGCATTTGTCCAGGGAGCCCCTGCACCCCACTTTCTGAGCCTTGGTTTCCAAGTCCAGGGTGGGCAGCCCCAGGTCCGGTCACATTAAAGGGCCAAGGTCTTGGGAGGAGAGCCCTGCCCTGGCTTGGCTAGAGCAGGTCGGAGGTGCTGCCAACAGGTATGTAAGTAAAATGGGGAGGCCTGGCGAGGGTCCCGGGCTGGGAAGCCAAGAGAACTGGGCTCTGGTAGTGTTGTGGTTTAGGTCTGGGGCGTCCTCCAAAAGCCTTGTGTTCAGAGGTTGGGCTTTTGAAGGTGATCGTGTCATCCGTGGGGGTGCTCTGCTCATCGATGGGTTTGTCCACCAGTCAGCTCAGCAGCCCAGTGTGCCCTAGGAGGCGGGCCTCGTTGGAGCCGGGTCGCTGAGGCCTCCTCCCTTCTCGCCCTGCTTCCTGAGCCATGATGCGAGCACCTTTCCTCCTCGCGGGCCCTTTTGCCATGCTGTTTCTGCGTTTGAGCCTACGAACCGTGGACGAAATGTCTGAAACTGTGAGCCAAGACAAGACCTCACCTCTTTTAAGTTATGGTGTCAGGTATTTTGTCCCAGGGATGAGAGTGACCAAGATGGGTGGTGTGCCTGAGGGGAGTCACGTCCCTCTCTGTGCCTCTGTTTGCTGTGCTCACTAAGTGCATGGGTGGCCACTTACTGGCTGTAGGACAAGTTACCTGACCCCTCTCTTCCTTAGTTTCCTTTCCTGAAATAGTATGATAGTATCTAATTGCGTTGTTTTAAGATTTAAATAAGCAATATGTTGCTAAGCATGGTTTCAGGGGCATAGAAAGCATTTAAGACATGTGAGTTTTATTCCCAGGAACCCCATGTGATTCTATGATTTGAACTTGGAATTGCAGACTACCCAGCAATTAAGATGAGGCCTTAGGACTGGGGTGCAGCTCAGTGGTATAGTATTTGCCTAGTGTATGAGGTCTTGGGTTCAATCCATAGTACCATAGAAGAAAGAGGAAGAGAAGGGGAAAGGGAACGGAAAGAGGGGAAAAGGAAGGAGAGGAAGGGGTCTTAGTGAACTGAGCAGTAGACTGATGCCCAAAGAGGGGAACTTGCCCAAGGACAAATGGCTGGTTGGGGGCAGGGCCAGGTGCCACCCAGCTAATCCCTCACGGGGCTTTAGGAGTGGTCCTGAGAGCTGCACGTGGATCATTGGCCTTTCCTCCAAGTGCTGTCCATGGTCAGGGCTGGACAACTGTCCACCTCCCTGCATGGTGGGTAAAAGTGCCAAACTATCATTGTGGTGGTCCACCTCTATCTAGCAGAGGTGGCTAGATCTGGGAGAGCGGCTGCTAAGCACTGTTTTCATTCCCCTTCCTGCTCGCAGGATGAATGACTGATCTGTAATTACCCTTAGTTAATGGGTCTCTGGAGGTGACAAAAGCCTAGCTGAGTGAGCAAAACAGCAGAGCCATGTGGATGTCATACGATCAGCATCTAATCAGCCAGAGACATGAGCGCACAAGCCTGGTGTCCAGTAAAAGCTAATGTACTGACCTGGTGGATGTTGCTGGACAAGAGGAAGGAGGGAGTGTGCCTTCTGAGTCCCACTGTACCCCATCCCCACCCCCCCACCCCCGGCCCTGGAAGGCCCCAGGGGGCAGGATCTGTTCAGCAATGGTGATTGTTTTCAAGGCAGATTGAGAAATGTGGGAATTAACTAGGGACTGGTGCTGCTAGGAGGCCAGGACACCCCTGGAATAAGCTAAACTAGCAATGGTGGTTCTAGGGTAAGAAAGCAAAAAAAGAGGAGATCATGGCATTTCTATAGCTGCTGTGTGGCCTTGGGAAAAAATACATGTCTTGTGAATCTTGCAGGTAGCATTGTCCCTGTCTGTCCCCCAGCCTGAGGAATAACAGGGTGGATTTGTGTGTTTTCGGTCTCCAGGGTTGATTTTTCACGCTTTTGGTTCTGCTCAGGACTTTTACTCCTTTAAAGCTGAGTCAGCAGCTACTAAAACACAATTACTCTTATGGCGTCCTTGTTGCTATTTATGTTTTGTTTTGCACAATGAACTGACCCAGAGGAAATGCAAGCAGCAAGGAACAGGCCACTTATGTGGATGCTTGGTCTCAACCAGGAGCACCTGATTCGTAATGGGTCACCTAGCGGTGGCACAATTTAGGCCAAGCTGGATGAAGACTCCGGGAATGAACATATTCTTTGTTCCCCCAAGTGGTGCAGCTATAGAAGGATGGCAAAGAGACATCTAAAACCTTCAAAGTCCCCTGCAGTTTGGTGGGGAAAAACGTAGATCTGGGAGGCCCCAGAAAGAGAGGTGCACTGCGATAGTTGGTGCTGGTCTTATGTTAGAAACAAGGAGCATCTCAGATGGAGAGGGAAACACTGCTACTATGCACTTTAGTTTTCCTTCATGCTGGCAGGAAGTATATAAGCAAGAACTGTCTTATATAAATAATCTCCGGTGACAGACAAGACCTTAGCCACATGGAATTCATGAGCTGCTCAGTTACACAGACACAAAACACGAGCCCCTTGGCTCTAAATATCTGATGGGCTTTCCTTACAGGGCTAGAAAAGTTCCAGCTGGAATGAAGTGTGTTTGTATGCAGAGTAGGAATTTTGTTTTTAAAAAACTCACTGACATCTAAATAAAGTTCTCCAAAGCAGATATGCAAGTGGCCAATAAAGCCCAAGCTGTAACGATAGGCCATGCCATCCCTAGTAGGATGGCTGCACTTTTTAGGGGGTGGGGTACCGGGGCTCGAACTCAGGACCTTGAGCTTGTGAGTGATTGGCTGCACTTTAAAAGGCAGATAATAGTGTTAGCAAGGTATAGAGCATTCTGAGCCTCATGACTGGTGGTGGGAATTAAAATGGTTCCATCACCTTGGAAAATGGTCTGGCAGTTCCTCAAAGGGTTATATGTAGAGTTACCACATAATCTAGCCACCCACTTTTTGGTAGATACTCAAGAGAGTTGAAAACATATGTCTATTCAAAAGACTTGCACTTGAATGTTCCTTACAACATTGCTAACAATAGCCAAAAGGTGGAAACAACCCCTGTGCCCATCAGCTGATGAATGGATAAACAAAATGCAGTCTAGCTATACGATGGAACACTACTGTGCCATAAAAAGGAGGGAGGTGGCAGTGCTCACTGCAACATGAACCTTGAAAATATTGTGCTAAGTGAAAGAAGCCAGTCTCAAGGGATTACATACTGCATGATTTGGTTTATGTGGAAGACTAGAAAAGGAAACTCAATAGAGACAGAAACTAGAGAAGGGTTGTCCAGGGCAGATGAAGCATGCAAGGAAATGGAGAGTGACTACTACTAGGTGCAGGGTTTTATTTCGGGAGCAATGAAATGTTCTGGGACTGATTATGTTGCACAGCTTTGATATGAAAAGCTATTATACACTCTGGGTATATTTTATAGTGTGAATTATATCTCAATGAAGCTGTTGTATAAAAAATAATAAAGGGGGTGAGGATTTAGCTCAGTGGTGCCACCGCCTGCCTCAAAAGCGCAAGGTCCTGAGTTCTATCCCCTGTGCAAATATGATGATGATGATGATGGAAATTGGGTAAAGGAATACATGAGAACTTTTATTTTTCTGTAAACCTAAGATTGTTCCAAAATTGAAAGTTTATTTTTAAAAGTATGAATGAAGAGAGCACAGAGACCCAACTCACAGGCTTTCCAGGACTGAGTCTTTCCCAGCCCCTCTGTCCCAGGCTGACCAGTGAAGGGAAGAAAATATGAACCAGCAGCACTGAGCCCCTGAACTGGTGTTCAGAGGGGAGGACAGAGGAAGGGGAAGCCACCCGCCTGTGAAATAGGGCCTTGGATGGAGGGGCTCTGGGTCCGAGGTAAGTGGGAACAAACGGAGACTGACTGGTACCCCTGCAAAAGTTCATGGGAAAAAAGGTCAGAAGGAACAAGCACCCTACAATTTGAATGTGTCCCCCAAGTTCATGGGTCATCAGTCCCCAGCACAACGACATTGAGAGATGGAAGCTTTAAGAGGTGCACAGGTCACGAGGGCTCTGTCAGCATCACTGGAGTGGGTTCTTGATACCAAGGTGAGTCCCCCATGTACTTGTGAAATCTTTCACCCTTCCGTGTTCTGCTATGGGATGACAGCGAGAAGACCCGCACTGGATGTGGGTCCCTCAACCTTGGACTTCCCAGGCTCCGTAATTCTAGGAAGTAAATTTCTGTTCTTTATAAATCACTCAGTCTCAGGTATTATGTGACAGCAGCACAAGACGGAGGTGTATAAGCCAAGAGGAAGGGGAGAGGGGAAGGGCATTGCACAAAGGAAAAATAAGAATACATTCCGGAAGGAAATGCTTCCAGGAAATAGAGATGAGAGATAAGAAGTGTTCTGTGTTCACAAATTAAAGAGAACTTGAACTCTGAAACGAGATCAAAGTTGAGACGAGGCAATGGGATGAGGTGAAAAGGAGATTGTGGGGACCAAGAAAAAAGCACCCAAGGATGAAGCGTATCGCCACAGAGTACGCAAGTGCAGCAGAGTGAGCTTCATGGCGGAAGGATAGCTGAAGTGTGGGGTTGTAGCACTCACGTAGCATGCACGAGGCCCTGGTGCCATCCGCGGCACCAAAAGAAAAAGTAGAGCTGACGTGACGGGACGCCAAGGCAGTGGAATGAAATGGACGACAGATCGGAGAGAGTCATACCACGTGCAGAAGAAATGAACCCAACGTGCCGTGGAGGTGGAACCGCAAGACCATTCTGGCCACCCGTGAGGACGATACTCTCATCAGCTGGTTTTGCCTTGGACAAATCAAACCCTCTTCGGAAGTACTGTCTATAAAATTGCTAATAACAGTACCACCAAGAGAAGCTGTTACGGAGTGTACAAGGCTGAAGGAAATGAGCTCTGCCCATTCCCTGCTAAGATCTGAATCCTGAATCTGCCTCTTTTTACTTGTGTGAGTTTGAGCAAGTTACTTTTTTCAGCTCTTTTCTGTCAAATTATTACAACTACACTATCCACTTCCTAAACTTCCAGAGTGGATCATATACTTTAAAAGAACTGAACGATGCTTCTTGACACAACTTTATGAATATGTGACTATTTCAGTGTATATGTATTTGGTATGTAGACAAAATCGGTGGTGAAAAATGAAAAGTTTCCATTAAAATGTCTGTCCCCATCATTATTATTTCACATTATTCTCTGAAAGTATTTGCCAATGCAATCAGATAAGAAAAATAAATGAAAATGAGTGTAGTCTGATCAAGGCTGATAAATCAAGGACAAAAATTGGATGGGTAGAGGAAGAGGGGAAGACTTGATCTTTGTGGCACCCTGGGCGGAGCTAAGGTTTGCACAGGCAGAAAAGAGGTCGTCCAAGATTCCTGTTGCTGAGTTATCCAAGCTACAGTTGGATTTACCTGTGGGTGGCACAGTGAGGGCTTCCCATGGGCCCTGGACACCCTTCCCCTGCCGTTGCTTAAGATGGGTTTCCAGCCTACTTGTTCCAGTTTACCTAAGGGAGAACCTGATTATTGAGCCAGCAAACTGGGCAGGGAACACAGCCAGGAGCTGGGAGACAGGGAGACACTCCCCTGTGTGTCCTTAAACCAGGAGTCCCAGGTATGGGTCTCACCTCTTCAGATTCCAGTCATTAGGTATGGTCAAGATACTCTGTGTGATAGATAAACCTAGATGGCATAAGAGAACATTTTACATCTGTTCATCTATATTTAATTTTATGTGTATGGGAAACAGCATCAAGACCATGATGCATGCATATTATTGCCTAGATGAAACTATATTTATTTAAGTGAAAAGAGAGTTAAAGAAATTGGGGAATAGTTCAGGTGGTAAACAGTTGTAACAAAGTTCATGACTTAGTTATGGGCATGGCTCAAATTTAGGAGCCAGAGCTTGTGACAGTGACTGAGGGCAAGACTGGATTCTGATGACTCTGGATTCTAAATTATAGAAACTTCACTTTCTAGCTACATGACTTTAGATTTTTCTAGATTCTTTGACGATGTGACATAAAAGCCAATCACTGTACTTCTGTATAGCTGTACTCCTAGCAACATTATTTGCAGTGGGCAAAAGTGGAAACAACCCAATATCATCAATAAATAAATGGTTAAAAGAAATGTGGTATATGGTGAGATAGTATTTAGCCTTAAAAAGGAAGTTCTGACACAAGGGTAAATCTTGGGAACATTAAGTTGTGTGAAACAGTCAAGTCACAAAAAAACAATTACTGTATGATTCCACTTACGAGAAGTATCCAGAGGAGCTAAATACATAGGAACAGAAAGGCAGATTGCTAGGGATTGGAAAGGAAATGGGGTGCAAAGTTTCCGTTGTGCGAAGTAAGTTCTGCCACTGAGCTGTCCACTTACACGTGGTTAAGGTGGTGAGTTTGTTATGTATATTTCACCATGTTTTAAAAATTGGAAAACCAAAGTGGGCTTTTCTGGGAGACGACTGGTGGCAGGGGAAAGGCTGAGAGGGGCCCAGGTGTCACACGTGGGAAAAAGGCCAAGGACTCTGAAAACGGGCTGCTTTAATGTTGTGAAGCTGTGCGTTGAATCCGCAGAGAATCTGTGTCGAGACTGAAGCCTGCCGCGCCGAGTTCAGTGTGAACGGGGATTTGGGCAGTGCCAAGGGGACAGAAGTCATCTGAACAGACACGAGCATTGACTGGAGCCACTCAGCCCCACAAGTCTGTCGGGTTGCTGACGACCGCGGCTTCGTGAAGCCTCACTTCCCCTCCCCAGCTCTCTATGGAATTTGCAGAAGTCTCCAGGCAGACACTGGATTTCCCAGAGGGCCAAGACCATCTGAATCTTAGAGGACAGAGACACTTCAGGGGCCACTGAGGTCATTTTTTAAGTTCCCCTTTTCTACTCAATGTAGCTAACCCTTTCCAGAAATGTAACCACAGCTTTGGGGAAGGGCTGCTGTGTGAGCAGGGGTTTTAGAGCCAAGCATCTATGGTTTAAATCTTTGCTCTGACACTTGCTGACTGTGACTTTGGACAAATTGTTTCATCTGTGGCTCAGTTTATTCGCCTAACAAATGGGGCAATGATATTAACAGCCTGCCTCATGGGGCCTTATGGGGGGAATCAAATGGAGTACTGCATGAATTATGTAGGTGCCCGTCGCCAGCTACTACCTGTCTGCCTCAGTGCCTGGAACACACAGGAATGCCTCTTGGTAAGAATGATCATTTTGGACTGGGGATTTAGCTCAGTGGTGCTGCTGCCTGCCTGGCAAGCGCAAGGTCCCAAGCTTGATCCCCAGTACCAAAAAAACAAAACAAAAATAAACCCAAAACAACAACAACAACAACAAAAAACCCAGAATGGTCATCCCAAGGAGAATGTGTGCGCCCTGACCTCTGCTCTAACCTACCCAGAGCCCTGGCTCTGGATGCACAAAGCCCCTTTCTCAGCCATACCTCAGTTTATCAGAGTGTAAAAGACCCAGGTCGGCAGCATCTGGGCTTTCTCTAGGGGAGCAGGAAGTTCAGGGAGCCCTGCCTCTTCTGGGAGAAACAGCCCCAAGCACACAGCTCCTTTGGCTAGGGGAGTGGGACTGTCCCCTCTGAAAGAGGACAACTTTATTTAGCAGGCTCTGTGGTAAGTGATCAGGGGCTCAGTAGAGGTGGCAGGCCAGGCACTCCTGGAACTCAGGGGCCACCCAAGAGCGAAGCAGGCGAAGTCACCTAACTTTGCTTTGGCTTGGATGCTTTCTCCTCTTCCTCTTTGCCAGAGTGCACCTTGAGGACTTGAGCTTTTCCGATGTACACTGGGGAGCAGGAGAAAGGCCCCAGCAGGTTATGTGGGAGCAGATGGGGAGGCAGGCCACGTCAAGCTTAGCTGGGGATGCGGGACACATGGATTCCCTTCTCTGAGCCCCACACTCCTTTCCTTTCAACATCCGGGGAACAAAACTCAAGCACCCATTCTGTGCCAGACACTGCTGGGCCCTCAGGACTGAGCACTTGTGTTATAAAATTATTTTTTACACTTGATCTTAGCCAAAAGGCCGAGAAGCGATATAAAATTATTTTTTAAATTAGGGTTTTGTTACTGTATATATGAACTCTATTATGTATTTTATATGTGGCCCGAGACGACTTCACTTCACTCAATGCCGCCCAAGCAACCCACAGGTGCAGGTTGGACGCGCCTGCTTTGCAGCCTGAGGGAGGAGGATGAAGTCCTCCTCTCTCTCCAGTCTGCTCCCTCCCTCAAAGGCACCAGGGTGACTGCAGGGGAGCCCTGTCCCCGCTCTCCCTCACTCCCAAACCCTGCCATACCTCCCACAGCAGCTAGGGGCACCCTCGCCATGCCCTGCTTATAACCCCGAGGGCCCCAAGCCCACATACCTGACTTCGTGCAGGCTGACCTTGCCCACCTGCCGCATCCTCTACCCATAGGGCCTGGCCACCTGGCCCGCTTCTTCCACGACACACAGTGCAGGTGGAACTCTGCTTGAGGCTCTCCCTCACCTGTGGCAGGCTGGGTCCTTCCCGAGGTTCAGCTCAAGGAACCTCCTGCCCCAGGTCCTCACCCCCACCACATCTGCTTGCTTTACTGTCCCTCCTGCATCCCCACCCAGTGTCCTTTTTTGTTTGTTTGTTGGTTTGTTTGTTTTTGGTACCAGGGTCCAAACTCTGGCCCTTGGGCTTGCGAGACAGGCGCTGGAACCATTGAGCTACCCCGCCCCAGTACTTTTATTTGTCCTCTGTGCCCCTCCTCCTAAGATATGAGCCTTATGGAATAGGAACTGGTCTGAATTCTTTCCCAGCACGTAGTAGGTTCTCAATAAATGTCAATGAGTGAGTGAATAGTTGAATTGAGCAGCTTTCTTAGGTAGGGACCCACCTCCAAGTTGCCTGCATCCCTCAGGGAATCCAGGGTGCAACTCACCCTCCCCCCCACTTGACTCCGAATGAAATCTCACCTGGTTTTTCACTTTGGGGCAGAGGTGGAGACTTCTTCAGGGATTGACTACAAACAAATACAAAGGGGTGGGTAGGTGGGAGGGGTGCAGGTGTGGTCAGCTGCCCACACTGGGGGAGGTGAGTCCCCTGACCTGCACAGCCAGACCCAGGTGGCTCCCACCTCCCCCAGCTGTGATTCTGTGCCTCTGTGGCCATGGCGGTGGGGGTGGGGAGGTAGGGCAGGGCCTTTTGTTCCTGGAGCTGGAAGGACTGGAAGGACAGCCACCGTGCAGCTCTCTTCTCAGGCCCTGGTTCACACCCTGGCAGTCAGGAGGACGCTCCTTTTTGAGTGGGGAAGACAGGAGACTCTTGCCCAAGGTCACCTTCCTCACTGGGCCCTTCCTCCTCTGGCCTCTCAAGGTGAGAAAACCAAGTCCAGGCCGGAGCAAGAACCCACGCCTTCAGCAAACCTAAGCCCACCCACCCCTGCCTCTGCTCCCCAAGCCTGCCCACCTCAAGCCACCCCAAGTTCCCCACTGCTGCGCACCCTCCTGACTTCTGTGCCTTCCCCTGCACTCCTCCCACTTCCGGGATGGTCTTCTACCATCCTTCCTCTGCTCCTTCAAGTCCTAGCAGTGCACCCTGAACTCTGCCAGGCATACTCAGGTGACTGTTAAGAATACAGACCCCGTTTCACCCTAGTGCTGGGGAATAAGAGTCTCCAGGGGTCCAGTTCAGCCCCGGGCTCTGACACAACTACACCCAGCCCTGGGCTACTGCATTTTGGACAAGCCCCCTGGGTGAGTTTGAATGCTACTAGGCTGGAAGTCAGCCAGGCCCACCAGGTGACTGTGGGCAGGTCCTCCAGTTGTCCCCAGGCCTCAGTTTTCTCATCCACAGAATGGAAGCAATAGTGCCTCTGTGGTTGCTAGACTAGAAATAGCCAACACACCCTGGGGTGTTAGACGTGGTGGGCCTCCAGCTTGCTCTTTCCTTCGCCAAAAGACAGACTGTACCCACCTGCTTTGTGAGGCCTTTCCCCCTTTATTTCCCCCTGCAGTACTGGATGGGAAACCCAGAGGTGCTCCACTACTGAGCTACATCCCCGGCCCTCTTGATTTTCTGGCAAGATCTTACTAAATTGCTGGCCTTGAACTTGTGATCTTTGTGCCTCAGCCTCCTGAGGAGCTGGGATTACAGATGTTCAGCACCATGCACAACTCCTAGTTGGTAATGAATTCCCTTTCTTCATAATTAATCCCTTTCTCCTCCATCCATCTAGGGCACTCGATAGCAGTATACTTGAGGCAGCCTTAATGTCGAATTCATCCTACCTGTGTCTTCCTGTAGACCAATTGCTTCCGAGGGCTGGATGGGGCTCATCAGCCTTCTCTTGTTATGCTCGACCCTCACACCCACGGGCACAACAGGACCTAGTGGGACCCTTGGGGAGAGCTGGGCCTCTTGATCCGGGTAGGCTCAGTCAGCCCAAACTCTGGCCAGCACCGGCCCCCTTCTCTGGACCCCTTAGATCTCACCCAGGAGGCCGGATGCTTAACTGTGAGGAAGCAGTTCTGGGAACAGAGGGGTGGATGGGGGTGCGGAGCCCACCTGTAGGGTGCCTGTGGCCTCTCTTGAGGTGGCTGTTGGACTTCTTGAAGCTGGTCCAAGAGTGTTTCTGCCGGAATGGATTCTAGGGGTTGGGGGAGGAGCTGAGCCACTGCGGTCTGCAGGAGTCCTAGGGCAAGGTCTTTCTCTGCAAGCACAGCCCATACAGCAGGCTCAGGCCCGTCCCTTTCCGGGCCTCCCCATCTTACTCAGGCCTGGCCACAAGCAGCACTCTCTGAACTCCCACACTCTGCTTTGCATCTCTCTGTGTCCACTGAGAGCCCGATGCTTCCTCACTTCTCTCCCACCTCACAAACAAGGTGCACCTTGTTCTCGGCCCCATGCAGCCCACCACACTGGGAGTCAACTTCCCCTTCCTCCTCCCTCTCATCACCCCTCACTCTGCCATGGAGACACAACCGGCACCTGCTGTCCCACCCAATGTCTTTCTTTCTTTTTTGTGGGGGTACTGGGGATCAAACGCAGGACCTTGTGATTGTGAGGCAGGCAGCCACGTGTCCTTGTGCATGCATGTGTGTTCTTATATTTGCACCTGTGTGTGCCTTTCCCATAGCAGCATGTGAGGGACTTTGTTTGCTAAGTTTGATCCTTAAACTTTTCCCTCCACCCCAGTGCCTAGGCTTGGGCTCAGCCTGAAGGGGGAGACCCCCCACACAAGGGTCCAGAAATCCTGCTGGAGACAAGAGGAGGATGAAGCAGGACACTGTCCAGCTGGACAATGAATTTCTTTAGGGCTCCAAAAAGTAGGAGCTGGGCAACCCCAGGGTTGGGGGCGAAGCAACATCTGCAGAACCAGAGAACAAGGGCAGGGTCCTGACAGCCTGCAGGCAGAAAGGGGCCCTGCGGCTCTGTGCTCACCCTGAGGAGGCGCATAGAGGAGCCAGAACTGGATGGCGCTCAGCGAATCTGTCTGTAGGATCTGGCAGAGGAGCTCTAGGATCTGCGGGCAGGAGAGTGAGCTGGTTAGTGAGACCCCACACACATTCCACCAGGCAGAGCAGGCAAATGTGGGTTCAGCGGGCACTGAGGAGCCACACCCCTGAATTCCTGGAGCCACATGCTGTGGTTTCAACCAAGGTCCCTGCCTCCACTCTCACAGGACCCTTCAATCTGCAGCAGGCTCCCTGTACAACAGGCCCGAGGGAATATTCTTCCCTTCTCCCTGTCTTTTTCCCTCTCTCACCTTTCTTCCTTCTTTTCTCTCCTCCCTCCCTCTCTCTCTCTCTCTCTCTGTCTCTCTCTCTTCATGAGGGAAAGGATCCAGGGCTTCACACATGCTAGGCACATGCTCTACCAATGAGCTGCACCACCAGCCTCTGGAGGAAGATTTAGGGGGAGTAACAGGAATTTGAAGCTAAGGCCTTTGCACTGAGTTACATCCTCCACGTTATTATTATTATTATTATTATTATTATTATTTTATTATTTTAATTTAAGACAGGGTCTTCTAAGTTGTGAAGTTGTCCAGGCTGGGTTCAAACTTAGGATTGCCTCAGCCTCCCAGACTATTGTTACTTCAGACATAGGCTACTATACCCAGCTGGAGGAAGATTCTTAACTTCTCCTCTGGTCAGGCAAAGAATCCAAGGCTTTGCCAGAGGAAGACACTCAACAGTGTCTGCGTGGCAGAATGAAGCCCAGCATCAGATGTGTCGGGGGTGCACCCCTGGAGCCTCTTTGAGCCAGTTGTGCCCTGGGGTCCCTTACTGTGAAGGCCAAGTCGGAGCTGTCCTCAGACTCAGCGAGTCCCACATGCCTGAGTCCTTTCTGTAGGATTTGGGGTACCCCCTAGGGTTCCTCACCCCAGAGCTCCCAGAGTCCAGAGATATTAACAAGGAGGAGAGGGAGTCCCACTGGGCAGCCATGGGTCAGAGCAGGCCGGTTTTGTCAGCTGCCCGAGGGGCTCCTTCCTGCTGAGCAGTGGCTCACTGGACCTCTCCATCTCTGTACATAGATGTTCAGCCCTTGCTATCTTTGCTACTTCGGGGCTGGTTTCCCCTGTTTTCTTCAGTCAAAGAGCATCAGGAGAAGATCCAACTCTGTCTGGGATGGGCTAGGGGGGCTTGCTAGGCCAAGTTTCAGATGGTGGCTGTGGCTATGGCAGGCTGGAGTCCCTGGAGCCCTAGGAAAGTGGGGTTCCCTAAGCAGTCCGTCTTTCTGGGACCCGTAGGGGCCTGTCAGACTCAGCAGGTCAGCTGCTCCTTGGCAGAGTGAGAATGGGGTTAAGCCTCTCCCCAGGCTGGTGCCTGCTCACTCCCAGCATCCAGGACCTACCTGCTGCGGGGACTCCCTCATCTGCCGCAGTGCCCTGCTCCATTCTCTGCATCCAACTTACCTTCCCTGTGCCCCCTCCCCACAGGGCCTGAGAACCTAATTCCAGACACGTTGAGGATGCCCTAAGGTGAAGAGAATACTGGCTCTAGTCCCAGCTATGCTGCTCCTTCTCTGGGGACCTGGGTCACCGAATGCCACTGGTAGGGCCTCAGCCTCCCCAGTTGTGGTTCAGGTATCCTGGGCCCTGGCTCCTCTAGACACTTGGCTAGACAGTGGCCGGGCTTCAAAGGAACTGCTGGCTTGAAAGAAGGGATTTCTGAAGGTGCAGGCTGCATGTCTGCCCTTCCCTGCAGGGGAGATGCACATGCATTTCAACAGGGACCCAATGCCTTGATCCACTAGAAAGGGGTGTGGACTCATCTTGGCCCTTGATGGGGAAACTTGAACACAGAGCAGATGGGCTCTAGGCTCTGCTGGAGCACAGACCGAATCCCTCTCGGTGTGGGAGGCCAGACTGGGACCAGCCCTGCAGGCTGCTCCTGGGGTGTGGCTGCAGAGCACTCTGAGTGGCATCTTCACCTCCTTGCCTCTCAATCCACCTTGCAGCTCCCTCTGTGACTCATCAGATGCCGCAGCTGGGCTGGACCTTTGATGACCATGCTCAGCTCCCATGGACTAAGGTTGTTAAGGGGAAAGGACTCACACGGAAAGGGGCAGGATGGCACAGGCTCCTTAGAGGCAGGGATCAGAGCAGGGGTTTCCCAACTTACAGACCTCACTGTTGGAGGACCAGTGTCCCCAGGAAAAGCCATGCCCTAAAGCAGCCTGGAAGGGTGTTAGTTGGAAGACTGGGAGCAGGGACTGCTACAGCTCTGCACCCAAAGCCGAGCTCACCAGAAGCTCCTGGTCCTGCAGGAGGGAGGCCTGGGCTCCTCTGTTTCTGCTGGAAGGGTGGCTCCGTTGGTGGAAGCTGCGGCGACTGAGAGCTCGGGTGGAGGCAGGAATGAGCCTTCCGGTCTCAGCAGAGTACTTTGCTCCTTGCTCCCTTGGGGGCTCTTCCTTCTGCTGGGACAAAAGTGACCTGAGACTCCAGGATCCAGTGAGCGGGAAGGAGGAGGCAGAGGGGAAATGGCAGGAAGGCCAAGTTATCTGCCTCCCCAGAGCAGTATCACAGTGATGCCTGGGACACAGACTGTCACCCAGGCCACCACTACCCTCTGGGTTAGAGACCTTCCACCAGAAGGGCTTCCACTAGCAAGAGCTCAACATTTCTGGTTGAACAATGGGTGCCTTGGGGGTTCTTGTTCTTCCACACAGGCAAATCCTTCCTGCTCCCCTCCTCCAGCCCATTAGAGATTTGAAAACAGCCCCCTGACCAAGGCCCTACCTTCTTGCCCCGCTTGGCTGCCTCCTTCCTTTGCCCTGACCTCTGGGGTCCCCTGCCTTTGAAATTGCAGTTTAGCCTTATAGCCTCCTTCTCCCCATTTTAAAGATAGAAAACAGAGACCCCGGTAGCTTAGCTGCTACCCTGAGTGACGTAGTAAGTTAGCTGAGAGCAGCGACAGAGGCCAGGTCTCAGGTTTCTGCTTTTCCACTCTGGTTGCCCGAAACGAGGGGTAGAAGCAGACAAGGGCCAGGACTGTCCTAAGACCACCTTCCATCTGCCTCTTGATTGTCTCTGCCATTTTATTACCAAGCAGCAACTACTAGGCCACGCCCACCCCATTAAGTGTCTCATTATGCATCCACTGTCCCAAGGCCACCTTCCCTAGGAAGCCCTCTTGGGTTTCCTGTTCTCACCCTCCTTGAACTCTCACTGACACCCTCCTCCCAGTGCCAGGAGCAGAGCTTTGAGGAACTTCTTTATGAGGTCTGAGCCCCTTTCCTCCATGTCCGGGCTCCTTCCTGGCTCTGCACCCACCTCTTTGTTCTTTAGCTCTTTCTCCTTGGTAAAGACAGCCACTCGGGAAGCCAGCTCCTTCAACTCCCTCTTCCAGGCCTCTGCGAGGGGGGAACAAGATCCTGGGCTCTGCTCCCCCTTCCTGTAGTACCAGGGCTGGGAGGGCAGGGAAGGTGCAGTACCAGGTGGAAGACCACCCCAACCACCACCATTCCTCCATCTTTCCTTCCCCAGTCTTAAGGGAAAGGGGGAGGCAGTGCTCCGGAGGAAGGAAGATTATGAATGACACCATGGATAGGGCGTGGTTGTTTCTCTTCTAAAGGGGGTGGTGCTGATGTCCTGCCTGGGGTGTTGCTGGGACCTGTTGGTGAGCATTTTGGTGATGCTTGTGTTTGGATACGTATCATCTGATCTAGCTTCACCTCCTTTAGGTACCTGGAGCCAGGACTGAGACACGGGCGATACACCAAACCCTTATTGACACACTGAACTGCTTCTGGAGAGGTGGTGTAGACTCTACAGCCAGCCACCAATTTTCCCTGCCCTGTGCTGTAGGCCTGGCCCCTTTCCCAGGAGCTCCCTGCTCTGCCCTACCAAGGCAGACTTTCCCGAACCCTAGTAGCAGAGTGGGCAGAGCATGGCAGGGCAGAGACCTCCAGAAGGCTATGCCAACACTGTGCTTGATGGTCTGATTGCTCTGTGCCTGAACGTGCAAGTCACTAAATATTGCGATTCTTATCTGTAGCTGTAAACCACGTGACTGTTGTCAAAATCAACTTGACCTTTGTTATTTGATTCCTCCTCAAGCATCTCAAATCTAAGCAGGGGCTCGTTTCTGAGGCCAGGACCTGGGGACAGTGTAGGGAGTAATGCAGAGAAGAGGCTGCCCGAGGAGATGAGGGAGAAAGTGGGGTCATCCTACAGCCCCACCAACATAAAAGCAATGTACCCCTTCTTTCTCAGGCACCCACCCAGGTGGGGCAGCCCTTGGGGACAGGCATGAGCACCCAGGAAGAAGGTTGTGGCCCAAGTACTCACGAGAAGAGAGCCGGGGGTTCCGATTAGAATGTGGGTCCCCAATGGGGACGGAGATGGTGGGCATCCCCATCAGACAGCGGGGTAAGAGTGTGGACTGAGTCAAGGGGGTCAGAGAGAACTCGTCCCTCACGACACAGACGGGCTTCCCAGTGAGATCTGCAAAGGGTTAGAGGCTGTGGGCAGGGGCCCTCTCTGGACCTTAGGAGCTCCAGGAGGCCGGAAGAGGCTGGGGACAGGTAGAGATCCCCGTCTCCACTATTCAGGTAACCACCAGCACAGCAGTCATCAGAGCTGAGAGGCCCTGTGAGGTGAGACCACTGTCATCTCCTCCATGGGGCACTGAGAAATGGACCAAGAAGGTTTTTTCCAGTCTTCTTAACCTCTGTCTTGGGGTCCCTGAGGTTTTTCCAGTTGCTCGGGTGGAGAATCCCAGAGGGAGCCTTGAATCTTGTTTCTCATACTCACTTTCAGTCATCAAACCCTGTTGGCTCTGCCTCCTGACTGCCCCTAGGAAAGGCCAATGCACTTTTTCCTGCTTGATGGTCCAAGCCATCAAGACAGGCTAGGGTGACCTTGCTAAAAGATCTTACTTCTGAGTTCTCAAGCTTCCGATGGCCCACCTGGCACTGTGAGGCAGCTCACTGGTGACACTAGTGGCCGGCAAGTCCCAGCTGATCTGGCCCCGTTGCCTCCCTGACAGTGTCTCCTTCCTCTCCCATCCTAGTCTGGTCCAGCCACACCTTGAACTTCCTTGCCGATCCTCCCGCAGAGCTGAAGTGCTTTCGCTCAGGGCCTTGGTATTTGCTGATCTGTCTCCCCGGGCATTATTAGCTTCACTCCTGCCCCCACATCAGTCCTGGCTTGGCCACTAGGCAAACGTGGGACCCTGGTTAGACCTCAAACTCTCTGGGCCTCAGCCTGGACCTAGGCTGGAGGGAGCACTTCCTTCCCTGTTCTCAAGGTTGATTAGGGATCACCCTTCCACACCCGCTCCACCCCAGCCAGGGTGTGGCGGACCTGGTCCTACCTTGGATGTGGGTCACACGCTGGGGGTGGGGGTGGTGCCTGGAGAAGAAGGAGTGGTGGCTGAGACGGCCAAAGCGGTAGGTGCTGGCGGTTTTGGGTTTGGGGGTCTTCAGCACCTCTTGGATCAGCTCCAAATCCACAATGCCTGGGATCACCGGTTCTTTCTGTGGCCCACCATCCCCGTGGCTCTCTGGCCTGTGCCCGGACTTTTCAGGTTTCAGCTCAGCCTTAGGACTGAAGGAGAAGATTGAAGGGGAAGTGACTAGAGCTTTGGTCTGGCAGCAGTGTCCATCCCAACTCTGAGCTGCGTGCTTACCATAGAGCCCATCCTCAGAGACAGAAATCTTCCTGGATATCACCCATCCCCCACTACAGCACCCAAAACTCAGCTCCCCCCTGAGTCCTTTTCCCAGTGGCACCATCCAGTCCCAGGGGGCCTGTGTCTTCCTAAGATGCCTTCTTAGGTTCTTCTTAGTCCATCTGTGAGAGCTCAGATGGGATCTCCCAGAACCCCAGTTATCTCCCAGAGAACAAATCTGAAACTAGAAAGAGAACCTCAGACCTACCTATTCCTCCACACTCCTGAGGTGGAGCAAAGGCCCCTTATATGCACCTCCTAGGGACAGGGGCTGGCCCCAGCAAGTCCTGTCTCCAAGCCCCGCTGTTGGCAACCCCAATGAGCCAGCTGTCACCTTCCCCCTCAGGGTGGTCCTGGGCCAGAGCCAGAGCTAGTGCAAGGCCAGGTGGGCCATCCTTTCCCCATAGGGTCCCTCCCAGGAGACGCAGAACTGACAGGAAGCTGTCAGGGCTGTGATGCTCTGCAGGGAGCATCACACGCTAGCTGGGCTTCTCTGGAGTCCAGCAGTTCAGTTCCCTGCTCCCTGCCCCATCCTGAGGAGGCTGAGCTTCTGCTCCCAGAGGGAGTGTGGAGGTCAGCCCAGCAAGGATCCAAAGGTCAGGCCCCTTCTGCCCGGGCCTGGTGCAGGCACCTGCCTGGTGGCTGTCTGCACTCCCTTCTCCTGCTGTTCCTGGCTGAAAGGGGTCCCTCTGGAGGAGAATAGGTGGGCTCTGGATATGCTAAGCCAGAAGTGCTGCCCTTGGGCCCTGTGAAGATATCGCTGACCCGGCCCCTGGGTTTTCTGTTCTAGTCTCCATTCTTCTCTAGGGAATCTGGGACTTAAAGAAAAACTGTAAGCTAACTTTGAAAGCCACAGTTAGCTACCACCTCTACCCTTAAGTAACAGAGGACGTGGTCTCCTAACCCCCACCCCCACCCCCACCCCCATCCCTGGAATGCCTGTGCTCTGTGTTCCTGCCTGACTGTGCCTTCTCCTACCCAGGGAGGGCCCTGGGTGCAGCCTGTGCTAACTTAGCTGAGGACCCACTGGGGGCCCAGCTGGTGGCAGGGCAGGGTGAGAAAGGGCTGCCTCTTCTGGACCTCCAGGCTACTGAACTCCCCCAGGCTGCCTCTGTCTTCTGCCCTGTCCTGCTCCCAACACCTTTGGTCAGCAGGTGGACGTTTAAGGCCTTACCTTGTCAGTGGATGTTCAACCAACTGAGTCCTCACCTCCGCCGCCATTGTAATGTTTCTAGTAGAATAAAGACCTGTGTCTTAGTGCTCAGGATGAGTAACAGGGACTCTCATGGACCAAAGGTGGGAGTATAAACTGGGGCAGATTCTTTGGGGGCCAAAGGAACAAAAGCTTGTAACATTGAACACTTGCTTGCTGTATCACCCAACATTTCTGTTTCAGACATAGAGAAGGTGTACAACAGGGGCCATTGATAAGAATATTCCTGTTACCATCACCCAAAATAGCAAAACCCTGTAACAACCCAAATGTCCAATGGCAGAACAATCAATAAGCAAGCCCTGTTACATTGAGGCAATTGAGCATTTTATGGCTATGAAAATAAATGAGCGCCAGCTACTTGCAACAGCATGGGCGAATCTTACAAATATACAGCTAAGTCAAGGAAAGCATGTTTCAGAGCACAGGGCAGGAAATCTTTTTTTAAAAAAGGAAAGTTCAAAGGCAAGCAAAATGATAGCAAACATGTGATTGAACAATAACAGCAAAAATTGCAGCTATTTCTGGATGGAAGAAAGGTGGGGAAGAGGAGAGCAAGGAGCATACAGGAGAACCATCAGTGGTGATACGTTAGTGCTTGGTGTGGGCGGTGCACTTACTGGTGTTCATTATACTATTAAATAAACTAATTAAATGAAACAGATGAAAGAAGGCAGATGTTGAAGCCAAGAATTATGATTAATCTGAATCTATGGGTTTGCTAACTATATATAAAATCTATATCCAGTACATGCGTACATTGCTAGGGATGGTTTGGGAAAGGAAATCAATGCATTCTGAGAATTAACCTTCAGGGACCCCCAGTGACCCCCCAGAGTCTCTATAAGGTTAGCGTGTGAGGGATTGGCTTTGTCTGAGGTCAAGGAAGAGGAAAGACTAGCAGAGGCCACAGAGCCAGGAACCAGAGCCCAGGCCTCTGGCTCAGAGGTCCCTGATCTTTTTCCCTAACAATGGGCAGAGCTTCCTTTTAAACTTTGGCACCCTCAGTGACAGGCTGAGCTTTAGAGCACACAGAGCATTTGGAAGCCCTGAATCCACCCATCTATAGGAAAAGCAACTTTTAGAATAGACTTTCAAATACTTTTGACCATGATGACATTAAGAAATTCATTTTTCTATCAGGATTCAATTCACATACGTGTGTGTGCTTGGGTGTGCAGGTAATACTGAGACCAGAGTACCCTGGAGCAATACCACTCTACGTGTGGTGTGCACAAATGCATGCATCCTAGGTTTTGTTTCCGTTTTTTGAACATTAGACATACGACCCATCAAACTGCTGCGATAAGCACTCGGGAGTCAGGATCCGCGTGCTGGAGCGAGCTCAGCAGCGACCTGGCAGGTCAGGACTGCGTTCTCCAGAGTGAGACAGGTTGGACCACTGGGGCCACCTCCGCCATGCGCTGTGTCCCTGGGCCCCCAGACATTCAAATCCAAGAAATCTGAAGGCTGCCACTGATCCACAGCCCCTCGCCCCCGCCCCTGGCCTGCAGGGCCCTTCTCAGCGTTCTTGGTCTGATTCCAGGGGCTATTTCTTCTCTGGAAAGGTCCTGGACTCACCGAGGAAGATGCCCCCTACAGCATGTGAGCAGGAAGCCCCTACTACCTGAGCAGGAAGGCGAGAGAGGGCACACCAAGGGGCAATCTCCTCAGCGCTGCGGATGAGTCTGCGGCTTTGTGACTGCAGCGAGCGCATTGGTTGCTAGGTTACCCCTTCCCCACAACTCCAGAACCACTCCCAGCACCCCTCACCCCCACACATATGCCCAGCTCCTCTTTCCCACTCCTGGAGGGGCAGCCGGCTCACCGAGGACTTTCTCTCGTCCTTCCAAGCTCCTCCTCCACTCCCCATCCAGCACTTCCAGTGGGGACCCGGGGAGAGAAGGCTGACTGACTGGTTTGGCCAGCTGTGAGCAGGCGGAGAGGCTAAGGATGCTGTTTGTGCCAGGTCCCAGCTTTATCAGCTGCACCTCGCCTGACAGGGCATGGAAGTGTTGCCCTGGAGATCATTCCTCAGGGGTTGTCTCTTGGAGAAGACCAACCACCGTGTCCAGAGTATCTCTCCAGCCTCAGTTGGTGGGACAGCTGGGTGGGAAGATTCTGGGTTTTCAGTAAGGCAGAGATTCCAAGCAGGTTCTGACACCTCGTGGCTGTGTCGCTTTGGAAGACGTCACTGCTGTACTGCCAGAGATGTGGAACTCCGGGCTCGACTCCACATTCTTCTACTTCCTACCATGTACATCAGCCAGCTTATCCTTGAATCTCGGCTCCTATGCTCTGAAATAGAGATTATACTCCCAGTTATTTTCTATCAGAAATATTAAAGCAAGTTAATACACATTCAAGGGTTTAGAATAGTGCCTGACACCAACAGCTGTCTCTTGCTAATTACCACGTTACAGGACCCTATAACTTGGGGCCCTTAATCTTCTGGGTTTGTTCTGAAGAACAAGTGAGTCAATGGGAGTGAAGCACCTAGGTGTAAGTCTGGCCTACAAGTGGTGCTCAAACAGATAATAATAATCATTGTTACCGGTAACTTGACAGAGATAGGATTGCGTAGTTGGGTGGGTCCTTAGTTCAGAACTGCCTTGAGTAATTCACTTTATTTCTCTGAAGCTTGGTGTGGGTGCCTGCCAAACAAGGACAAGGATAATCCTTGGACCATAGGGCTGGGATGGCTATGGGGCGGGTATACAGGGTCTGTAAACTTGGGGAAGGCTCACAAATGGTGCTTGATGCTGTCCTAGGAATGAGGATGCTGGCCCTCAAAACCGACCAGGGTGGATCTATCTGAGAGTCTTTGTTCTCAGCACCTCTGGCTTTGTATCAGAATCCTGTGGCTTCCAGACTGGCTGACTCCTGGGGAGCAAGCACAGAACAGTAGGTAGTTATAGGCAAATAAGCTTTTCTAAAGTCCTGCCCCTTCCAGCATATTCAAACCAATATGGTAGCCCATGGAGGGGCCATCTGAACTTGGCCTTCCTCCAAATGCTTCCTCAGCCACATGGGCCAGAATGACCCCTGTCTGTCGTCTTATTTTTTCCTGGGCCTGTTTCTGCAAGACTTAGGTGAAACCATTTGGAAATCCCCTTTTGCATGCCTCTGAGCATGCTGGTGACTATAAAACAACAATACTGTGTTTGAAAGATGAGAGGCTTTCTTCCCTTCCTCATGGCTTTTGGCACTAGGGATTTCCCACCATGTGTGCTGAGACAGCTGAGACACAAACCCACGCTCCCCCTCCCCATGCTGCCTTTCAACGTTTCTGTTGGATTTAGAGCTGAATGAAGCATCTGCATGCAGACCGTGATGTGAAAGGGGAAGGAGATGCCTTAAGAAGTGTCTTCAATGCTGGTTTTTGTAGAAGAGCTGGGACACCATCAGATTTCCTTCTTCCTGGAGCTCAGAAACAGGAGCGAGATCTATCTGCCTGGAAATGGTTTGAGGCAATTCTCTGTTTTGATCAATGCCTCAGTTACAAGAGGAGCAATGTAAAACCTTATGGCACACTTCCTGTGTGCCAAGTGCTATGCTAAGCCCCTCAATGCAGTATCTCACTTAATCCTATAGATGAGGAAATTGATGATCAGAGAAATCCTTAGCAATGTGATATAATTATATTTCTCCATCTGTGGCTTGCTCTTCTGACTCTAATGCAATCTCTCAGGAAAGATATCCTCATTTTAATATAGCCCAATTTACTAATTATATTCTTGATAGCGGGTTTTGTGGCCTATTTAAGAGACCTTTACCTACCTGTTTATGAAGATATTCTCCATATTATTTTTACCTTTCAAATTTAGATCTATGATAAATCAGGAATAGGTTTCTGTATACTGTATAATAAAAGGGTCAAGATTAATAGATTTTTTTCCCATATAAATATCCATTTGACCCACTACCATTATTTAAAATATTGTCCTTGTCCTGCTTCTCCATATCACCACCTTTATCAAAATTCAAGTGTCCGTATGTGTGGGTCTGTGTCTGGACTTCCTATTTATCATTGTATAAGTACTACTTTAATTACTGTAGCTTTACATCTTGATATCTAGTGGTATAAGACTTCCAACTTTCTGTTTTAAATTGTCTTGGTTTTTCTAGTTCCTTTGGCCTTCCATATAAACTTTAGAGTAATTTACCAATATCTACAAAAAATTTTGCTGGAGTTTTAGTAGTAATCAGGTTAATCTTGTATATTATTTGAGGAGACTTGAAATGTTTACTACCTGGAGTCTTTCAATCCATGAGCATGGTATGTCTTTTCATTCCTTTATTTAATTACAAGGTACAAGGGTTTGAACTCAGGGCCTTGAAATGTTTCAGTTTTTTGAGAATTTATAAATGATATTCAATTTTTCATTTTGATGGGCATTGCTAGTATATGGAAATACAATTGAATTTTGTACATTCACTATCCTGTAATATTGCCAAACTCATATGTTAGTTCTAGGTGACATGTTATAGATTCACTGAGATTTTTCTACATTTGTAATAATATAATCCACCAACGAGGACAGTTTTCTTTCTTTCCAATCTATATATCTTTTAGTTCCCTTTCTTGCCTTGTTATATTGCCCTGAGTTTTTAATGCTATGTTGAATAAGAATATGAAGAGTGGTCAGGGATTTAGCTCAGTGGTTCCGGTGCCTGCCTTGCAAGTGCAAGGGCCCTAGTTTGATCCCCGGTACCAAAAAACAAACAAACAAACAAACACAGTTCATGCTAGTCATGGTGATGCACACCTGTAATCCCAGCACTGAGGAGGCTGAGGCAGGAGGATCGCTGTGAGTTTGAAATCAGCCTGGGCTACATAGTGAGTTCCAGGTCAGTCTCAACTACATAGTGACACCCTGTCTTAAAAAACCAAAAATAAGAATATGAAGAGTGGATATCCTTGCCTTGTTCACTATCTTGGGGAGCAAGCAGTAAGTCTTAACCACGAAATATTGCAGTTGTAGGTTTTTTTGTAAATGTTCTGTATCAAGTTAAGGAAGTTCCTATTTCTATTTTCTGATAATTTTTGTCATGAAAGGTATTGAATTTCATCAAGTGCTTTTTCTGCATCAACTGATATAATCATGTGCTTTTTCTTCTTTAGCTTATTAATATCATAGATTATGTTGACCTTCAAAAATTGAGCCAGATTTGTACCCTTGGAATAAATTGCACTTGGTCATAGTGTACCTTTAAATATTGCAGGATTATGTTTGCTGATATTTTGTTAAGGATTATGATATTTACTGTCTTGGTCTGCTTTTGGTACCAACATAATACAAGCTTTACAAATGAATTTGAAAGTTTTTTCTTCTTCCATTTTCTGGAATACATTGTGTAAAATTAGTGCTAATTCTTTTTTAAATATTTGCTAGGCTTCGCCATAGAAACTATCTGACCTGGAGATTTATAGTTTGGGAATTTTAAAATTATAAATTCAATTTCTTAGTAGTTTACTATTGTTCTAACAAAAAAATATTTAGTACTGGAGATTGAACCCAGGGCCTTTGCACTGATCTTGTCTTTAGATTTTTTTTTTTAAATTTTGGGACAGGGTCTTGCTAACTTGCTAAATTGCCTAACTGGGCTCTACCTTATGATCGTCCTCCCTTAGCCTCCCAGAGTGTTGGAATTACAGGTCTGTGTCACCATACCTGGCTCCTACTATATTGGTGAGTTGAAATAGTTGGTATTTTTTCAGGAGGTAATCTATTTCTCCTAAACTGTCACATTTATTTGGGTAAAACTGTTGGTAATATTCCCTTATTATTATTATTATTTTATCTCTGTAGAGTCTGCGGAGATATTCCTGATTTCATTCTTAGCATTGTTGATTTGCCATTTCTTTTTTTTTTTTTTCTTTGTCAGTGTTCTGGATGGAGATTTTTGTCAATTTTATTGATCTTTTCAAAGAATTAGCTCTTTGTTTTATTAATTTTTATTTTCAGTTTCGTTGTTTTCTGTTTTTTATCTTCACTATTTCCTTTTTGTGCTTGCTTTGAGATTTCTATTTATTTTGTTTGTTTTCTGAGTCCTTGAGATGAATACTTAAATTCTTGACCTGATTTTTTCCTCTTTTCCAATATATGCATTTGTACGCTTGGTTTTCTAAATTGTCCTCCTACTGCTGATTAGCAGTGTTTCACAAACTATCACATACTACATCTTCATTTTTGTTTAGTTAAAATATTTAAAAAATACTTTAATTCATGGATTATTTGGAAGTATAATATTTAGTTTCCAAATATTTGAAGATTTCTCCTTTATTCTGCTGTTATTTCTGGTTTGATTCCTCTCTAATAGGAGAATACACTTTGTATTATTTTAATTCTTTTAATTTGTTGAGGTTTGTTTCATGGCTCAGGATATGGTATATATTGATAAACATTCTATGGACCCTTTAAAAGAATGAGTATTCTACCATTGTTGGGTAAAGTTTTCTGTAAATGCTGATTAGATCCTGTTGTTTGATATTGTTGAGTTCACGTACATCCTTACTGATTTTTCTGGCTGGTTTTGTGTGTGTGTGTGTGCGTGTGTGTGTGTGCGTGTATATATATATATATAT